TTTGAAATTAAGACAATGGTATCAAATCTAAAAACAGAAATAAAAACACAAATCATGAATATAAAATACAAAGTGTTACAATACCAATGCATTACATTAAAATAAAATCAAATTTAATAATAAACATCTGTCTTTTTCAGATACTGAAATAAATTTGTATTGGTCTCTTCAAATTATTTGGTCTAAAGCTATACTCACCAAAATACTTCATTCTAAATCTGTTAAAAAAGGACAATTAAAAAATGATGCACTTCTCTCAGTGCATCACATTTGGGACAAACTGTTTCACTCTCCTCTCTCAGAAAAAAACCGCAAGTGGCTCAGGAGTGAATAACTCTAAGTCGGTTCGTAGAACTTCTTTTTTTCAGTCACCTGAGCTTGAGACCTTTTGTTTAACGTACAGTTTAAGTACAATATTGTTTTTTAACTCAGAAATTGATTTGGCTGCCTTCCACATTAGAAATTGATATGATTCCACAAATCCATTGCTGCATATCTGAGGAATTATTATATAACAGAATATAAAAAAATAACAGGCTAGAAAAAAATAAATTAGCTGGAAGAATGTAAACAAACTTTTGAATTATGAGCATAGTATAAAGTCCGAGATTTGGAATTACCAGAACTTTGATGATTTCAGATTCAGGTCAAAAACAAACTATGATTTTAACATAACAGAACTGAGACAGGTGATTCATGCTATAAAAACATGCAAACTGAGCAGACTTAAAGGAGTTGTCCCAGAATTTGTTTAGAATCTGGGAAAGGGAGCCATGTGAACCTTACTGTGAGCCATAAATGAAATCTGTCACTTAAGTACACCAGAAGCTTGGAAGAAGGCCAAAATAATACCCATTCACAGAGACCCAGCCTTAATCAAAAACCATAGACCTATAAGTCTTACCTCAAGGTAAACAAGAGATTAATAGACAGGAGAAATATTATCAGCAATTATGAGGCTTGCCAACTTCGGAAAACACAGGTCCAAAACAGATCAAGTCATAAAACTGACACATTTTGTGAAAGATGGATTTCATCATAAAATGACCACCTTGGCTTGCTTCATAGATTTCCAGGACGCAAATCACACAATATGCTGATATATACTGATAAACAACTTAAGCGGTATAAGCTTAAGTTGATTTTAGGTAAGATTGAAGCACAAATAGAATTGCTTATCAGGCACAAATAGAAAAGCTTAAGTGGTAAGATGTTTACCTGGCTTAAGGGCTTCCTTGACCAATGTTTTGTAAAAGTTAGATACTACAATGTGACCTCAACATATTGACAACAAAAGAGAGGCCCTCCTCAAGGTGCTGTTTTGAGCTGCACTCTTTAACATCATGATTAATGATTTGATAACTGAACTGAAAAAGATCCTGGGTATTGATATTTTGTGCTACACTGATGATGTAACAATCTGGGCCACCAGTAGCAATGTACCTGCCCTGGAGTAAATGCTAAATCTGGCACATGAACTTCTTAAATTATTATAGTGCACAGAAAATGACAATGCAAAGACAAGACCACATCACAGCTATTCAATCATCAGACAGATCTTCAATACTATGGCTCGTTAATAGCTACAAAGCCTACAGCAAAATATCTGGGAACACAGCTGGACTCTAAGCTAAATTCGGTTCAACACATTGATGATATAGCCACCATATGCATCATGAATATGGATACCGAAAAGACTGACTGGGACTAAATGGGGTGCAATGCAAGTCATCCTTGTGACCACCAATAAGGCTTACATCAAGTCACTGATGGAATATACAGTGGATGGACAAAAATATGGAAACACCTTGTGAAATGCATGTTTGAATAGAAAGATTGATTTTAATGAAATATGTAGGTGGCGCTGGCATTTTTTGACTACTGACGCCACCTATACAACTTCGTAAACGTGCTAAACAGTTCAGTTGTTGTCGGAGTACTGTTATGTGAGGTTGTCATTGCATTATGTCAAAGTTAACAGATTTCGAACGTGGGCAAATTGAGGAGCACGTATGGTAGGTGCTTCCGTAAGCAAGGTAGCCGAGGTGTTTAGTGTTTCAAGAGGTACTGTATCGAAGATTTATTCTGCATATTTGAAAAGCGGAAAAACATCATCTGCTAAATCACAGTGCGGACGAAAGTGTGTCCTGAGTGATCGTGACAGACGATAATTAAGGGCAATTGTGACGAAAAATAAGAAGACTACAGCTGCAAAAGTTACTGCTGAAATGAATGTTGTGTTACCGAACCCTGTGAGTACCAAAATAATTAGAAGGGAGCTTCATAAACAGGGAATTGCTGGCCGTGCTGCAATTGAGAAGCCACAAATCAGTGATGCTAACGACCGTAACAGGGAAAGGTGGTGTTCAAGTCATAAAGCCTGGACTATAGAGCAGTGGAAGCGAGTAATATGGTCTGATGAGTCTTCTTTCACATTGTTTCCCACTTCTGGCCGAGTTTACGTCTGGAGAACGCCATCTCAAGCCTATAATACAGACTGCTTGTTGCCAAGAGTGAAACATGGCGGGGGTTCTGTTATGGTTTGGGCAGCCATATCGTGGTTCTCTGCTAACCCCATGATAACTGTGTCAGGGCACATGACTGCCAAGACTTATGTGAACATTTGTGAACATTTTGGCTGATCAAGTTCATCCCATGGTACAAACTTGTTTCCCGATGGTTTATGGTGTCTTCCAAGACGACAAAGCCCCTGTTCACACAGCTCACATTGTCCAGGACTGGTTTTCTGAGCACACGAGGATGAGTTGTCCCATCTCCCCTGGCCACCACAGTCACCAGACCTGAATATTATCGAACCTTTTTGTGGTCTACATTGGAACGGAAAGTGCGTTCTCGTTATCCACCGCCAACATCATTATCTGATTTTGCCACCGTTTTGCAGGAAGAATGGTATAATATTCCCTTGGCAAACATACAGGAACTGTATTTATCCATTCCGAGAAGACTGCAAGCTGTTTTGTATGCCAACGGGTTTCCTACACCATATTAAGCAAAGAAACATGTTTTTTTAAAGGTGTTTCCATATTTTTGTCCAACCCCTGTATATGCAAAGCCCTTTTCCACTGCTAGCAAAGCCGTTAAAAAGAAACCAAATTCCACTCAAAATAAATCTCTATGAATAATCTGTGCTGTTGCAAAAAAATCTACTCCAATCCCCTCCCTTGAATATCCACTCCCACACACTTGATTAAAAATAAATCTCTATGAATATTCTTTGGTATTGCAAAATCCAATCCAATCCCCTCCCTTGAATTTCAGGCACAAATAGAATTGCTTGAAAGCCCCCCAAGACAAGGCAATGATGAAGAACTTCAAGAGAAGCCAAAGAATGCCGGAGAACTTCCGAGAACATGATGCACCTTTCAGCAGAAGACTCAAGTTTCGGAATACACCAGTGGCTCATGATCTCTTTCAGAAATATAACCCAGATGCAGGTCAATGGCTGCCTTTAAAAGACCCAAACATCTGAGATACCGTTTTCAATCTCTCTCCCAAGCATAGATGTATGAAAGACAGGCATCTGTCCATATGTCTTGAAAGCAGTTGAACTAGAAATGATTGCTACAAAATACCCTGGCCTGAATGGACATAGTAATAGTCACATACACAGATGGGTCAGTTATCGGCAACAACACTGGAGCAGGCTTTAACTCCCTCAGAAGGAGCTTTCCCTGTCAGTAAATCAATAACAAATTTCAACAGGGAGATATTTACTATAAGTGAGGCAGTAAATGCCCTTTACCACTTCACAACAAACAAAAAGTAGTCTTCCTCTCCGACTCATTGGCTTCAATACAAGCAATCATCAAGAAAGAACACTCAAACAACAACCACTTGTAGCAGAGTGCCAGGAAACTCCTCAAACTACAGGATACAACATATATTTATGTACACGGTTTCTAGGGCACTGTGATATTACAGGAAATGAAAAGATGTACAGACTTGTAAAGGAAGGATGCTCTATGCCTCAGCCAACACCCCCCCTAACATACAGAACCATATGCAGCAAATTACATCGAAAGTCAAGATGATCATGGACAACATAAAGAAGTCAGCTGCTGTTAGAAAATGGGAAACAATAACATCAAGATCCATCCCCAAAAATCTGCCTCTAGATGTCACTGTGGCCATTTTCAGACTGACCATAGGCCATGACTACCTCCCAGAGCCATCTCCATAAAATCAGCATTGTCAGCTCCCCTACATGCTGCCTATGTAAGTTAGAAGGAAATGTTGATCCTCTCAACATCTGCAGTGCTCTGGAAGTAGAATCCCAAGAAGATACAATGGAAGGATAGGCCTGGATCTTATAGCATCAGATGGCTGACGTGTCAAAAACAGACATTGGTTGAAGATTTCAGATCATCCAGGGTTAAATCTAGTGAGATGACATGTAGACATGGCAAATGGAAGTTTTGCTTTTGTTCAAATAAGACAAAAAAAACAATAACTGCTGTTAGTGATTGTGGCCAACATCAAAACATCGCCACTGGCTATAGTACAGTTAATTCCCAAGCCACCATGTATCTAAATGTGACATGGAGAAATCTTAGTGAGTCCGGAAAAAAAAACATTTGCCACCTTCTTTCTGTAGAATATTTTAGATTCTCCCCCCCCCTTTGTGTGTGTGCACTTACTGGTGGTCTGAAGATCTCATAGGTCATACAAGATATTGGACATTCAGATTTTGGATTTTGTACTGTACTATGAGTGCCACTGATATGTGGATCTGTCAAGAAGTACACTGATAGCAGACCCACATATTAATAGTGAGATTTTTCAGTCAAGTAACTGGATTATAGAATGCTAAATTAAAGATGTAAAACTTGCTGAAAATTAAATATCATGCAATAGGTTTAAAATACAATTTGTTAACTAATCATAGTGTTGCTTAATTTATACAATGTATTAAGTTTACTCAGTGTTAAATAAAGGTTAAAATATTTTAGTTGCAATGTTCATCTTTATTTGCAACTTACCACCATAAATTTCAAATGACTGTTTAATATAGAAACGTCTGTTCAATAAATCTGCCATGCGAGCTTGAACAAATCCAGTTTCAGGAGGTGCGAGTTCGAGTTCCTAAAAAAAAAAAAAAAAAAAAAAAAAAAAAAAAAAATTATACGGTTTAAGTTGCAGATTATAAATAAGGAGTAAAATTGTAAGCAATAACTAAAGAAAAGCTTCAATAAATAAAGTTAAATTAAACTATGCCATTCATCTAAGAGTAATTAATCGTTCTAATAACTCATAGCTTTAATAATCTAGTTTAAATTTACAAGCATTGCATTTTTTAATTAGCCCTCTTAGTAGCATGGCTTTTCAGATCTGCTCATGAAAACCTGTAATTAAATAGCTTCCATGAGCTAAGTTTTTATAATTACTTATTTTAGTCTCTGTTTGCATAAACTTCCATCCATTAAGATGACATATGCATTGATAAAGAGAGTAAGAAAGCAAAGTATTTTTAAATTATAATCTAATATATACCAAGCGAAAAAAATATCATTACTGGATAAGGGTGATCATGTCACTCAGGGGGTTAAAATAGAAAATATGTCACCTATTTACTCAAATTCTAGCCCAATTCTGATCAAGAACACTTTTGTGATTGGACTATGAGAATCTTGTAATCTTATTCACCTGCAACCAACCTACTGAGATAACTTTTATACCAATGGATTATAAGTACCCCCATTCCAAAGGCAAACTCGACCTTCATGTCTTGGCTAGAATTTGAACCAAGAACCATAACGGTTAAAAGTCTACTACTATTCATTACTATACTAATTAAGGCAGCTAAATTTTCCCTAAGAATCAGTTAACCATTTTAATTACATTTAAATTGTAAAAGTGATTATTAAAATGCTTTTTTTGTTTCCAAAAATATACTGTTGAAGATGATGCATTAATAATAATACATTCTTAAAAAAAGGGGGAGGGGAAAAAACATACTGTCAATCAAATTTTGAAAACTTATAAATTCATGTGGTCTCTACCCCTTTCACATTTATGCACCAGTTCCAATATGGGGGAAAGTGCAGAATCGCCCACTGCTTGGCGTGTTTTTAAGAATTGCACATACTCTGTATCCATGTACACATGACCTATTTTCACTTTAAAAAAATCCCAGAATTGCAAAAAAACGGCATTCTGCACTCCCTTGACTTTATCCATGTACACATTGACCTATTTTCACTTAAAAAGTCAATGAAAATTGAAATAAATCCAATTCTTCTTACTCTTGTAAAAAGCGCCAAACAAATAAGTGGGTGATTCTGCACTTTACCCCCAATATGATTACAATGCCTTTACCCCTAATATGATTACAATGCCCCAGGAAGTCTTAATTGAAAAGTATTTAATATCTTTGTAATTTAGCATAAATGCCTGACAGAATCAACGTCTCAATAAACAACGAATTCCTACTCTTAGATGGCTATGGAAATTACAATGAAGGACCTCAGGTTCTCACATAGTAATAAAAATATAATAATAATATTAATGGACTAGTAAATAATGAAAAATAAAGTTTTTTGCTAGAAATAAAATCTGCAATGGTACATAATTTCCTACTCTGCATATCATTCTCCATTTTGCCATTAAAATCTTTTGCATTTCTAAAGATTATATTTAAAGCAAATATTCTCTATATCAAATTCATACCAAGTTGCAGAAACACATTTAAAAGACCTCTAGGGAATGTAAATGCCGATATCAGTGCATAAATGTAGAAGAGGATTAATTTGAAATAATCCAGATTTAATTAAGGTAAACTTTCAAAATTTGTTTAATCCTGTTGTATCCTTATATCATATTTCTTTCAAAGTACATTATTCACATACAGTAACTAAAAATTAATACCTGGAAGAAATTAAAACTAAGAAAACTTTAATGTCACGTGAAGGCAGTATATTTTATTATCATAAATTATCATAAGAAGAATGCTCAGAATGTGATCTGATGTTTTCATTGACAAATATTTCATTTCAGACTCATTGTACTCTACTTGTAATTCAACTACTTAGAATAGTTCACAATATTCATGGCACAGAATTTTGTCACCTTGCTTAATAGGAAGATAAGTTCTAAAATTAGAAGAAACAGGGTCTCAGTATGATTTTATTAAAATGCATATCCTAAATTTGAAGTTCTACAAAATACAATATTTAGATTCAAAATTTTACATATTATTGATAAAGTCAATGCTTTATAAAAAGTCGATTTAAGATTAATATTTAAACCTTAAAAAAAAAGTTTGATTCTTGGAATTAAGTATGAAGCTAAATTAAAAAAAAAAAAAAAAAAAAAAGGTTAATAAGATTAATTTTAAAAATAATCTAGATATTACATGAAATAATCAGCAAAAACTAAAAATTAAACTACTCATTATATATTTAAAATTTAACACACATAAAACAGTCAAGTCAGCACATTAAAATACTCTGAATATAAATAAATAAAAACAAGAAAAGTTACCTTGGCTTCTAATTTTTTTTTTCTTGATTCCAACTCATTTTCAGCCTTTTTTACATCTAACTCCGGGGCACCACTTTCTTTCAGAGAGCGCACAAAATCTTCCTTAAAAACAAATAATTAAAAATAAAAAAGTAATCACTTTTACCCATCGGCCATAATACAAAATATGCAAAGCTTTGTAAATCATAAAAAGTAACAAAATCCAAATCCCGGGTTTGTGATTTCCAATATTATTAATCCCGTAAGAAAAAAAGATTATTTATAAAAAAGATAATAAATAAATACTTGTTCTTTGACAGCCGTACGCAAAGGTTGAAGTACCTCCTGTACTTTAGGATCTTCAGTCTTCCTTGAGAAATCTATTTTATATTTCCTTAATCGATTTTTACCCCAATTTTCGGGAAGAGTTCTAGGTGAACCTCCTTGGTGTCGATCAAATGTGCGAATAAAAAAAATTACTGTGCGTACACGGACAGGTGCCGAAAGCACCGGTGTCAAACTTGTCAAATACAAGCATGACCGAAACAAGTTATACCCACATGTAAACATTAGAGCAGGCAAAAAATAGAGGAAAGATTAATGTTAGAGTACATATAATTTGCAACCGTGTTTCAAGCTAAAAGATTTTTAAGAATGTGCTTTCGAACTAACGGAATGTAAACGAATATTACAAATGCACTCATACTAAATGACGAAAACACGCGAATCTCTGCACTAGACCGTCAATCCGCTTTCTTTGGAAATAGGATGGGTAGAAAGGAGAAACTTCTGAATGAACAGCGACAAAAAGTATTATTACATCGCGCAATAACTTTTACTAAAAGACTTTTAGTGGGCTCTTGTGGCAAAGAACTTTTATGGTGTCAGTGCATTTTGGACAAGGAGATTCTCCTCCTTGGTTTTGGCTCCTTCCTTGTTGGGGAAAAATTATTTCCAAAAGTAAATTTTCGAAACGTACTTCAACCAAAGAACATGTATGTACACTGCGGGAGGGAAAAAAAAAGGGACAGTTCATCTCCCGTTCTGCTGGGCCGGTTGACAACAAATTCAAATACTAATTCAGAAGTCCAACAACAAAAATCAGCGTTATATTTACAAAATTTTCACAGGACTAGTTTCGATGATTTATTCGGCGTGTTATTTTGTCTTAATTAACAAAATTCAACTTGCGTTTTTCATGTCTCGAAAGCGCAACTTGGAGTATGATAGTATTAGAGTCTTAGATAATATTGTTCTAATATAGTTATTTTGATAAAAAATCTGACTTTTTCTGAAATGACATGCGAATTTTTTTCCATATTTCGATACTTCGACTCAAATTACGAAAAACTGCCAAATTTTGTAAAAATCGCATGAATGGTTTTATTATGTTAGTTTTTAAACAATTAGCTCTTAAAATTTTAGCTCCCCAATGTTAACTGATTTTGATATATATTTATTTATATCTCTTTTTTTTTTTTTTTTTTTTATTATTAAAGTGACTTCATTCCTTCTTCCAGAATTCGAAGTTTAGGTTCATTCTAAATAAAATTCGCCCATTTTTTTATGATGTATTCTTAAAATTTGTATTTTTAACTATAAATTTTTCGGAAAAAATTTTGAATTATGAACTTGTACATTTTTTTCTATCATCTTAAAGTAGATGTCTTTCTAAGAAAATCTGCAAAAAATTAGAGTTCTTTATTCAAAATTTCCTAAGATATACGTGAAATTACATATTGGCGCGTTTTGAAATTTGACATATTTGTTATAAGTGAGAATGACGCCAAATGTGGTTTAGGCACTTTGTTCAAATTATTTGAAAATATGAATGATGACTTTTTTTCGCTCATGTACAAGGAAAAGAAATAGTTTGCTATAAATTTGTTAAGTTTCAGTTTGCGCCATTACGCCAAGATAAATTTTTAAATTTCTCCATAATCCGATTTTGTGTCAAAATACCTACAGTAGAGCAATGCTGTATATAAAACTTATACATATATTAAGTTACGCTTTCGAGACACGGAAAACGCAATTTGAATTTCGTCAATCGGCCCAGTACAAGAACCTCCTTGGCCATGCCTTGGCCCAGTAAAACGAGACAAATAAAACTGCCCCCCCCATTTTTTTCAGGCAGTGTACATCCATATTGTTTGCCTCATTAGTTACCGGCTCACTTTATGCATTAGCATGAGCACATTATAAATTTTTAAAAGACTATCTTAACTCTATGATTGCGTATTTAAATGTAGATTCATAATAAACTGAAAGCCTCCTACATTTACTATACATTGAACTGTGGTGCTTAACCACCAGGGTGCCTGGGCGCCATAGCCCTACCCCTCATCGAATAACATAATAAAATTTTCGAATTATGAGAAATATAACCCTACATTTACTGAAAGTGCGAGCGTGCAAACTTACTTCAGACCAAAGGATTTTGCATCCAATAAGAAGTTCCTCTTTACCTGCATTCTCAAAAGTTAGGATACTAATTATTAATAGCAAAATATATATAGGCTGTTTAACGTAATTATACAATAAAATAAGAATCTGAAGATAATTTGCAAGTTTTCACTTGTTAATCATTTTTATAGAGCCTCTTCCGGTGTCGAAGCTAAGAAAGCAACTCAACTTATTATTGACATTAAATTCAATCGTAAACAAACGCATGAGACATGGGAACTACCAATGCACTGAGAACATGTATGCAAAGCAATCACTTTCTTTTGCCCGCCTTTCTGAGGACTAGGTAATAATTCCTTACAAGAGAAAATTGACACGTCATGATTTTTTTTCAGCATTTTGTTAGTTTCATAAAAGGTGGCTGTTTATAAAATGGAAGTGTTAATTTTAAATCAAGACAGCTTTCGGTTATTTAATTATTTGTTTTTGTATTTGCATTTTCACATAGCATATATTTGGTTTGCGCGTTTATATTTTGTTGTATTGTCTTCGTTACTCATTTCTGTATCTGCCCAATTCTTTTATACGGAGCTCCAGTTTGGGCAAGCGCACCAAGAAAGTCTGTGTTTTTCTAAATAAAACTCTCAGAAACATTAGCAATGGCCCTTAGTTCTTGCGAAATATCCGTTTCAATCAAGATCTTGACATCTCACATGCTCAAGATTTCATGCTGATGAATGCATGTAATTTCTACAAATTTATTGCAAGTTCAGAATATTCACATATCTAACGATTCAGCATCCCTAGAAGCGACTGAGCACGTTTTTCCACAATGCAGCTTACTAGCTCTTGTACATAAATGTAAATCTTTGTAATTATTCTGAAATTAATTCAATTAACTGATAAAACAGTTTTGGTCTCTGTTTCTCCTGGCAAAGCAGGATATGGACTTAATGTTATTATTTTCATCTTATTATTTACACATTTTATTCTATATTTCATGTGTATTCGTCTAATTATGTTGTTTTCGTTTTGTATTTTATTTCCCACAGCCCCTATGCTGTGTTTTAAAATTTCATTTCATTACTATTCACCTTTTCTGATCTTCATTCGTCACTAGATGGCGAGATAGAACAGCAACTTTTCTAATTCTGCCTGTTACTGCATGATTTATCACAAGCTCAAACATGCATTTATTTTTTCCTCTTGTAGTGGCATTTATTACAAAATTACAAGTTCTTAAGCAATCTTACGCCGATTGCCCTTGACCACCTGCCAACGCCAACTATAGGTTAAAACTTGCAGTGTTTAATTGCTTAAGAATCATCACGGTCAACAGTCAGACATCTTTAAATTAAAATACTACAATTTAGGTTTTTGCTAACAAGTATTTAAAGAAATCTGTTTCAAAAATAAGATGTGATATTACATTATCTATTCATATTTGTTCTTGTTTATATTAGTTCATGAAATAGTGTTCAAATTTTATATTATATAACATCTAATAAAAGTTCTCTTTTAGCCTTTGGAAAGCTAATAGGTTATATAGCCATAAGAAACTTATTTTATCTCCCAAAAGATATTCAAATACAGAATGGAGAAATTACCAAATTAGTAAGTTTTTAAAACATTTATTTGTATTGTCTGTCTTTCATAGTAATTATATGTATCCTATGAACTTCATTCAAAGACTGTAGGCAGTTTTGAAACAACTGCATTTAGTCTTGAATAAAGTCGCATTCACTTTTTTAAAGAGAAACTTGCAAAATCATACGTTCAGATTTTCAAATGACAATTTGAGAAACTGTTAATAATTGCAGATTTTTTTCATATTAGGAAAACATGATGGTAAAGTTTTTAGAATTTCTTCATTAAAAATGCTCCCTTCATAACCTTTATGGACATTTAAAGGTTACATATTGAGGGCTGGATAGTTAAGATTTTGCCAATTTTAGTGACTAGGCCAGAACTACCAAATTTTTTCTAAACATATTTCTATTTTCTGATTATCTCCATCCCCACTAAAAACTATAAAAAATAAGGTAATGCTCTATGTCAACTAAAAATATTTATGTATTAACCCAAGTATGTGCATAGCATCTCACCATATGGCTTTCCACGTCTTCAGATTTCACTAGTGTGACTCTTTCTCTGTCTAATGTGATTCCTTATATGGGAATTCAGCATTTTAGCATTACACTGTGGCATATTGCAATTTTTATCATCATTGAAGTCAAAATCTCAGATATTCAGCATGCATGGAACATAATTTGGTAAAGGCATCATTCAGTGAAAGAAACACAGTGCAAAAAACCAAGAAGGTGCATGCTTTATCTGGAAAAAAAAAAGTAAGCAGCAGTGCACTGGATGCATCTTGAAATAGATGTAAAAATACCCATACAAGAATTTCTGTCCGAAGTTGCCAGCAAGCTCACGAGTGCTGTTTAAAGTCATCAACAAGTTTGCAGCTTTTCAATAGGGGTTGCAGATAATCAGAAAGCACTGAATTATTTCTCTCAAGTTATTTATTTCAACAGACAAAGACCTCAGGTAGTGTAACTCACTTTTAATTATTTTAACAATACTTTTTTTTTTTTTTTTTTTTTAAGAACTCCATTACATGAGGAAAAAGTACTCTTCTGTTATTGGGACAAGATTCAGAAACGTATGTTGGGTATGGATGACTTGAGCAAAAGATGAATATATAAACTACACTACTTTATTACTAAACTATTAAAATGAATAGAAAGTTGGTAGATATAAAACTGACATAATAGCTGGTGACCCCATCAGGATAAGACAATTCAAGAATAGTTCACAGGAGGATTCACATAATCTTGGCACATCATTTTATCTGGAATAAAGTTCAGGGATTCATTACTTCTCTCATATATGTATACACATGTATATGTATGCATGTGTATGTGTATACATGTATATATATGTATGAACACATACATACATGCATACACATTTCCGAATCTGGTCCCTGATCCTGATAATAGAAGAGTGCCAAAAAAGAATATAACATTTAGTTTAATAAGGCAGCCAGTAGGCATGAGTTTCAACAAAGATATGTTCAAATGGAATTTTGTCTTTATTCCGTCAGCTCCATATGACTTCTTATAAATGAGAATTTGATCTTTTCCATTATCAAGTTGTTTCACATATTTTTCTATAGAAAACTGTTTGGCAGTTGTTATTGTACAACAGAAAAGATCTATAATTGCAATCTCTCGGCTGGATTTTGTCATCTTCTACTGACTGAATTACTGTAAAGTTGTTCTTACATCTAGTAATTCAGATTTAAAAAAAATAAAGCTTTCGGATATTAGCTGCTGATTCAAATTTCATATATATTACAAGCTGTGAGAGATTTTTAAATTGTGTGCAAATGAAGACAAAATATTTATGATCAAATTATCATTGGTGATGGGACAAAAGTTCAGTCATAATAATACTGGCAAAAGTTTCTATGACCCCCTCTCTCCAAAAAAGAAGTTGAGGTATTAAGACTAATTTCTATCAGGAATTATTTTTTTTGGGGGGGATGCTAAAATGAAGGTACTTATGTATTAGCAGAAAAAGATAGGCTGACTTTATTTTAGGGGGAAAATGTTTTGCAATAACTTCTAAATTAACTTTGAATGGTTTTTTACCCTGAGATATAGCTGCTGCCACATGAACTCTGCTAAGTGTAATTTCAAATTGGATCTTGTTCTACTCCTATGTTTTTTGTTCAATCATTTTCATGAACCCTGTACCTGCTGGATATTTTTTAAAGAACTCCATTTCTGACCATAATTAATAGCATCACCTAAATTTTTTAGTAAAATCCATATACCAATAATTAAACTATGCACTCAAAAAAATAAAAACGTAAAAAATATATTTACAGGTGCCCCTTGGCGATTTTTGGTGGTACATGGACACCGAGTTTGGGCAATTCTTTGACTTTGTTCTTGTACACATTGATCTATTTCACTTAAAAAGTCAAAGGACCACCCACTTCTACACTAGAGCCAAAGAAAAAATATATAATCTCAATAAACTACATTTTAAATGAATGAAACAACATACCAATCATGTCATAATAGGTTTCCATAACATTCAACTACTCAGGTTACCATAAATAAAGGAACAACTTTGTGATAATCCAAGGGGCACCATTAAATATAGGCTAACAAAAAAAACTCCATTCCTAAAATGCAGTTTACAGGTGTTCTTAAAACTTAGTGAAGTTATATGGTTACAATAGCGACTCTTTTTTGATGAATTTTAGCTTTTACTTCTTTAACACATAAATACCAAATGGAACTACTCTTATATGCGCCCTCACTTAGCGACAAATTTCTCGCCAAATATTTTTGGCGAGAAACTCTCCCGTGCCATATTACTATCTAAATTTTTTGTCTACATTTCGAACTTTAAGCCTAAAATGTCTCAAAAACGTGGCTTTCGCACATGCAAAAACCATGTTTTGAACACACAATTTAAGCTAAAAATTCGAAACAAAAAATTTAGATAGGAAAAACGTAAAATTTCTAACCAAAAATATTTAACAAGAATACATGTACACAGCGATATATTTTAACTTAAAAAAAAAATATATATACGAATTGCACAATCTAAACAGCAAAGAAATCCATGAACTACACACACCTTGCTTTAATAAATTAACATAACAACAATAAATTTCAAAGAATACCATGTACACAGCATTCTGTTTAAACTTAAAAAAAAATCTACAAATTGCACAATCTAGGCATTGCTCACAAATCAACAAAATTAACTAAAATAAATTACAAATAATTCAAAAAACAACAATAAGAACAGAAATTCATAGTAAAAAAACAATGAATATAACATTCTACAAAATAAAAACAATAAAATAAAATGCACTTACCATAATGGATGCTTCTTCGGACAGTAGAACGTAGCTTTAACATGCCGCCACGTGCTCTCTATGGTATTTATATGACAGCCAGACTCGCTATCCACAAAATTCATACTATAGTTCACAAATAAATGTTCAAAACCTTGTTTTCCTAAATCCTTGTAAGATTTCCAGCCATCCAAAAAAAAAAAAAAAAATAGTTGTACAATGCTCAATATGGTATTTATATGACAGCCAGACTCGCTATCCACAAAATTCATACTATAGTTCACAAATAAATGTTCAAAGCCTTGTTTTCCTAAATCCTTGTAAGATTTCCAGCCATCCAAAAAAAAAAATAGTTGTACAAGGCTCAATCCACTCTTTAATACATTGCATCAGCGCTTTCTTACTTCTATCATGCATATAAGGTCCATATTTTGGTAAATATTATTTTTTGGAAAAGTATATACTACAAGTATATTAGGGTCGCAGAACATTATAAAAACTCAAGGTCTGATAGTTTTGTCATAATGGCACTGCTAAACTGCTTAGAGATAATTCTCGTCTTTCCATTGAGAACAATGTTCTTGTACATGAATCATTTCTTGATTCATGGTAATGTGTAACCACCATGTTTGCTTATCTGATGCTGCCCTTTAGATATTTTTCTTCATTCCAAAAGTAAAATCTTTAGAATTAAGTTATTTTTCTAAGAATTAAAATTTCACCTGACGGATGATATCAGGAAATCTGCAGTCGAAAAATAATGTAATCGACAGAAAAATTTATCAGGTCTGCTTTAAGAACTGAAATCTTTATTAAGAATGGTGTTAATCTTAGGACAAGAGTATTTTAAGCATGACTAGGCTGAAGAAGTTATAAATATCCTCCCCCCCCTAAAAAAAAAAATATTCAAAGAACTTGAGACTTTTTTATTTTCTTAATCTTTAATTAAAAGATGTTTATCAGTTATATTTTAATGTAAGAAGAAAATATTTAATTAGTAGAAATAATATATTTAGCTAGGAATATTAAATGATGACATAAAATGATGCTATATGGAGAGATATGGCTTAAGTATTTGTGTACAGTTATTGAAGTTTATATTTAAAAATAATGGTCTGATTTTATGTTGGGGGCTCATGTAACTTTTCCTTCTCATTATGTATTAGCCTGCCAAAGCCATATTATTGGGTTTGCAATGGATTTTAATATATTTCAACATTAGTTTAAGTAAGCTTTTCTCTTGATGTTAATACTACATTAAAGACTTGTTCTTGGGATCTAAAAAAAACATCATTCTACACTGCTAGGAGTTTGCTTCCCTGCCACTGCATAAGCTGGCTGCAAGGAGTTTTGTGATTTTACTTGTGTGTAATGTGGATATAAGTCAGTTTGTTTCAGAAAATCCTCCATAAAAGCATGTCAGACAGTCCTCAAGTACAGGATGACAGAATGTGATAGAATGTCCAATTGATAGAATTTTATAGCTTTAGGATGAGGAATGCAATCAGCCTTTTGTTTAGCTGTTAAATATTTAACTTTAGTTTATAAATTTAAAAACTAGTTTTATTCAAGTTTTGGTACTTGTGTATGTTTTCTACACTTTTTGTTGTTTTAGTTGTAAAACAGATTAAAATGCAATCTAAATTTAATGCATGTAGTTTAAAGTTCTGAAAAGGAAGGGGAGGGTTATCTTCTAGGCATGGTGAAAAAAAAGGGTGCATAAGGGAAAATAGGTTAAGAATCATTGCTTAATAAATAATTTTGCCATAATAAATAACTTAATGTGTTATTTGTGATATAGAATACTTAGATGTTGTTGTTTTCTTTTTTCAGTACATTATTAGTAAATTTTTGTGGTTTTAATAGTACCATAAATATTATGTACCATATTTGCTCACATATTTGTTCCCCTCAAATATTTTCTACCTAGTTTTTAATCTCCCTATGATTTAGAAAAGTCTAATGTATTATAACACTGTAAAGTGTATGTACAAATAAGAATGTATTTATGTAACTAAAAAGAGTAATACTGAAACTGATAAGTCTTGTGAAATACCTAATGTAATTATATTAGACTGTTTGCTTTTTAGTGTGCTATTTAAGCCAACTCTTCAAATAGTATACACCGTATATTTTTCCCCACACAGTTTTCAAGCAGAGAAATTAGTAGGAAAAGAGGCGGGATATGCAAGTAAATGTAATATACACTAACATTGAAAATGTAACATAAAGAAGGAGTGGCCAGAATGTGATGAAACTTGGCAGACAGTGAGAGACAGCAATGAACAATAAGTAATCTTTATTTTGAAATGGTATTTGTAATACAGAGTGAGAGCAGCGTTGACTCAGTACCACCTTGGACGGCGATAACATGAAGCAACACAATTAGGTACAGAAGCAGTGAAACTACAGATGATGTCCTGAGGAATGGCTTTCCATTCCCTGTCACCCACTTGCCACAGTTTGTCTTCTGAACATGGCAATGGCAGGCAAATGTGTTTGATTGGTAAGAGAACGGTGGCCAGGGAATCATCTGTACATTTTGCACATTGGCTGAGGCAAGCTATGTGTGGTAAGGCATTATCCTGCTGATAAAGGGCATTGGGCACTCCCTGAAGTACATCATGAAGTATTGTTGGACAGTCATAGTGCCCTGAATATGAACTACTGGTGACCTGGAATAGTATGCAATCGTGCCCCAAACCATGATGTCACGTTGTTGCTCGGTGAGGCATTCCAGAATTGCTCCCATATCCCAAGTCTCCACATTGATGCCACACTCATATGTGGTAACTATCATTGGAGAAACAAAAGCGTGACTCATCTGAGAGCAAGATCTTGTGCCGTTCCATTGTTCACATTGCTCAAGCCAGCACAATTGCAGATGTTGGCATCTCCAATGTGGGGGGTCAATGGTATTCTCTTTGATGGATGCAACGAGTGCAGTGCATTAGCCACCAAACAACAGCAAATGGTTCTGGTCGATATGAGAACTTCCAGAGTATCTTGAACAAGCTGCAAAATGGAGGTAGTGGCTGGTGGCTGCACCACCGCTTGTCAGCAGATGCCTCGATCTATGTATGCTGACATCACTCTGGCCACACCGCACCTCTTGAACTTGCTACATTTGCTTGTTCCAACCATTGTTGCCACAGCCAATGCACTGTGGACGTGCCCAGCTGTTGTCAGAGATTTGACGTATGGATCAACCTGCCCTTTTCAGTCCGATCATCATGTCCCTCATAAAATCGTCTGCCTGCTGGAACTGCCTCCGTTGATGACAGCCTGGCATTCTCTGCTGTTACGCATGTTCTCTGAGATAAGAACAAATTTTCTAATGATTTCCCTAGAAGAAATAATGGCACGCAAATTGAACATTCGGCAGGTTCCTTCCCTTATATCTTCAACGTGCGCTGGAGAATTGCATGTTTCATATCATTCACATAACTTAATGACGTGTGCCTACCCTGAACTTTGTATAATTTTCAGACCATTTCTACATTTTCAGTGTCAGGGTAGTGTATATAATCTATGTAATTATCTTCAACTTTTTATATAATAGATGTACTAGTTTTATTTTATATTAGACAGAACTGGATTTGGCAGTTATTATGTTATTAATATGAAGGCATCCTTTATTTGCAACATACTGATATAAATTATAGATTAATTTTTCACCTTATGGTTGAATAAAAGTTACGATTGTATGTTATGTATTTTTAGGAAGATCACTCTTCATACAGACTCAAGAAACACCAAATCCAAATAGCCTTAAATTTGTGCCTGGAATTCCTGTCTTAGAGTCTGGTACTTTTGATGTCCCAAATGCCATGGCTGCAACCAAATCTCCTCTTGCTAGGCAATTATTTCAAATAGAAGGTGTAACATCTGTATTTTTTGGTTCAGATTTCATTACTGTTTCGAAGGTAATAAATTTGGTTATTTATAGAATGAGCAATTTAATTCTTATCAATTTATTCATAAATTATAAAAACATTTCATATTTAATTTTGTATTAGTTTGTATTTTACAAATATTTTCTTTTTAAAATTTAGAAGAATGATTTTTATATGCAAATTTTAATGGCTTTGTGCAAAAATAATCGCAACCATGTCTCTTTTTCCTTGCTTTGAGTTGGAGAAATTGTATTACATCATTGTGTTTGTCTAAACATGTAAATATTTCAGTGCCTTTTGTTCTTCTAGATATGAGACATAATACTGAAAATTCTGTTAAATTACTTTAAAAATTTTAAATTACTCAACTTTTTATATTATAAATGCCCAACTACTAGCATTCAGTTGACCAGAAAGCTCAAGCAACAAAAATATTTTATAATTTTAGAAGCTTTTTTTAAGCAAGAATTGAAGCAAATGAGAGACTTGTAAAACTGTTATACTTGGAATCTCATTTATAAAATGTAAATGCAATTATACTGCTCCCTTTCAGAAGATGTTGATTACTAACTGCTGTTTTTGCTATTGTGCTGTTCCAAGAAATTTTCCTTGGAGTTGGAATATTTCTCATAGATAAAAAAATGAGGAATTAATATGGCACGGGAACAGGAGACACTCCGAAATTCACAATAGTGTGCTCACATGATTAAGCAAGAGGCTGCCGTGTCTGCTTTCACAAGAACTATTCTCATTAGTATGTCTAACACTGATGGTTTTAAACTTCTGTTTCTCAAGAAGCAAAAATTGTAGCCAAACAATAAATTTAGTGCCAATTAAAACAAATTAATTCACAATAAGCCTTTTCATTTTTGTAAAGAACAATATATGCTAACTGCTAGTTATCTGTTTTTTACTTTGCATTAAAAAAAAAAAAGGTTAAATTTTTTTACCCAGATTCAGTGGTACAGCAGGCAGTAGAATACTTGTAAAATTAACAGATCCATTAATGCATTAATTGATTCATGCATTAATGAGACACACTATGTGACTTTATATGTTTTGAGTAAGGCCTATGAATTGTGTTTTGAATAAGGCCTATGAATGTACATCATCTTTCATGTACATTTAAAAAAAAAGTTTCATAATTTTGAATGTAGGCTTTGAGCATTTAAGTTAACAAATAAGATGACTGATTTTATAATTTTAAACTGGAAATCCATTCATTTGGCTTTTTCTTCTGTGAATTGCACTTTTTATGCTCTAAACTATCTGGTATTTTTACATATCTGGCATTTGGCATTTCCTAAGCTTCCTGAATAGCTTTTACTGTATAAAATTGATCAAGTTACTTGAAAAATTAAAAAAATTAAATTATCCAACATCTCAACATAGAATTCTTTAAGCTTGCATAAAAGTTTTTAAAAAAATATCATACAATCAACTTTGTTATTGCAATTTATTAAAAAAACATTTGTCATTGCAACTTATTAAAAAAGCAAAATATATGCACCTAAAATAAATAAATGAATAAACAAATTTCTTGTGGAGGTACATAGCTGTATATGGTATTAGAAATATCTTTTATAGAATATACTAATGATATAAACGGTTGTATAATTTTAAATTACATGTTATTTTTTAATTTCTCTGTTTGTTACCTGTTAAGCAGGATGCTTTTATAATTTGAAAGATCTTATGTGAAGAGAATTGACAGTTGACAAGTCCCATGGATGCTTATTGTAGAAAGGATAATGTTAATGAATAATGATTTAATAGCATAAAACAGTGTGAAAAAAGGAAATTTTAAGCTGCAGACATGATTAAGAGGAAAGAAGTTTTTGTAATTATTATTTTGAGCAATGTGTGTTGGTAATTTTAATTATTAATGAATATTCTGTATTTTTGAAAAACATATCAACATGTATGCTATCAATCATGCGCTGTCATATGATGTCGTGTTATCACTGAAGAGCCAATCATGCATTGGCATCTAGTGTGGGCTGATATCTCAGGTGCCAGTCATCTGCAGGCATTGGAAAAATAATGCCATATTGTTTATTCTCCAGGTCAGTCAGCATTATGTTTTGAGTATGTATACTGGTATTGGAGTGGTGAGAAATTAGTTGCAAATGTATGTGGTTGTGAATTAAAGCAAAGTTTCATTTTGTGCTATGATTTTATACATGAATAACATTCTAAAATGTATAGTTTGTAATAATATCATTGTTACCACCTTGTAATAAATTCATTTCTAATGTGTATATTGTTTGTGACTAATTTCGTGCAAAAATAATGTATATTATTTTCTTATTTTGGTTCATTTTAAAATGCCATTTGCAGCACATAATGTGGCATTTGGGAAATAATTTTACGTTTAGTGCTAATCACATGCTGGCATGTTGTAATAAAATTATCTGATTCAGTAATCAGTGTGATACACGTAATCATCTTTTGTTACTTCTTTTAAATCATATTTCTTATAATAAGTAATTCGGCATGTACTGTATTTGATGGCATATAAGACGCACCCTTATTTAGGCGGCCACACACAAGGAAAAAAAGTTTCAATAGTCTGTGCGATAGCGCGGTACCACAATAACTTAAAATGTAATTTCTTTTAGTTCTCACGTTTTGTAAAAGCAAAATAAACAATCATTGAATGCAGTTACCAAACGTATTTTTATTAAGGAAAATTAACAAACGGCAAGCTATTTTTTTTCAGTAGGTGGTGGACCGAAATCCCTTGCTGCTGCTCTGTTTCCATGCACTTTGGCATAGTTTAACACTCCTAGTTTATACTGAATTGTATAGCTTAATCTTTTGTTTCCTGTAGTCATATTTTCCAGGGTATTTTTTTAAAACAAATAATTTTAAGCACCGATACCAACACGTGTTTCGGCTGAGTCAAAGGCTCCATAGACGTAATGTGACCATCGAACCTGTTTGAACTTCGACATTAGCTTTGAGCTTTGGTGCTTTTTGGCAACAGATATTTCACGCATGCGCAAAATAATTATGGAAGATGTAGGAAAAGTTATGCATGTCTAGACCTTTATCCGGGCTAAAAATAGCATTCAGTATTTAAAGTTAACCTGTGTCCTTCACGCATAAGACACAGGTAACTTTTTTGAGACCAAATTTAGGAAAAAAAGTGCATCTTATATGCCGTCAAATACATAAGTATAATGTACTTCTGTGTCAAGGCAATAATTGCCAACACAAACTCATATGATAATCAGCAAAAGTGTAAGGAAATGGATCCAAGATTAAAAAAGATTTAAAGTAATTTACTGGTTCAGAATAATTAATAAAATTGTTATTTTTATCTGTTGGGATGTTGAATTACATATAATCTTAGCTTTGCATAGCAATTGGAGAAAACTAGAAATTCACAAATTTTGCTGTTGGGGTGATGCAATGTACATACATATCATGGAAAGTGTTTCAAATTATGCAAATTTGTGCTGAGTGAAGTATTATATATCTTCCCCCTAATTTCTTATATACAGTGAGTACCTTGTGATCAAAATAAGTTTTCATAATAGATAGTAGAGGAACATGCAGCATTAACCCATTATTAAAATATGGCGTGCATGTGGCATTCACTCCACTAAAAATATTTCTGAATGCAATTTCTAAGAGTGTAATAATCCATTCAATACATGAACAAAACATATTTGAAAAGGGATTTAAACATTATCTGTTAAAGAAGAAAGAAGAAAAACAAGTTCATGGGTTGTTAAGTAGTTGTATCATGAGGTTTGAGCTTATAATCAATGAAACCTGATACATCTCATTGAATGTAGAAGAAATCAAAAACCTTCTAACTTCGAGTAAGGATGCTGCTAATTTTCCCTCTATATAAGAGACTTAATATATTTTAAGTCTGTTTTAGGAAGAAACAAGATTAAGACAAGCCATGGGCTGTAAAACTCTTTTCATCTGAAATTAGAGAATTTAAGGAAGTGAATTGACTATAAAAGGGTAGAAAATGTAAAAGGAATATATTGCATTCAGAACTGATGCATTAAATAGGGAGATAAAAACTTATTATAAGAAATGCTATTTTTTGTTGTTCTGATCTTAAAGATCAAAAGTGCAAAATTCATGCCAGATTTTTCATTTGCTTTACAGTATGCTTTTCTCCAGCTTGGTAATTTCAGTTTTACTGCTACTATGAATGATTATTATATTTAAAAAAAAAATTCGAGCAAGAGATTTTAGTCATTATTTTTTTACAGGAGGTTTATGGGTATATTGTAAGGGCACTGCTAGTTTTATACAAGAATTTGTCATTAAGTAGAAAAGGGATAACTAGCTTTCATTAACATTTTTAAAAAAAAGTCTGTGTTTAACATCATGGATTTATGTGATTGTATCTAATGATCATTTAATAAATTTCAATGAAAGTTGTGATTTGGAATCAATTCTTATTAGAAAAAAAGTTATAGTTTATTATTATCATGTTGCCGAAACCTAAAGGACTTTGTATGCTCTTTTTAATTTTCAAGTATTTAAAAAAAAGAAATTAAAATGGTTTTTAAATTTTTACTGATTAACCACTTCCCAGTTTTGCCCGAACGCCGTTCGGGTACTTGGAAATGGCACTTTTTTATTTTCCTGAGCGGCACTGAGGCAACCTTTTTTTTTAGTCTAATACACTGATTTGCACGAATTTTTTGCTTGTTTAGTGTGTAATGTTTATAACAGATAGTGCTAGTAATCCAATAAAGTTAGAATTGCAAAACAACTGGTTTCAAGGTTAGGTTTTACTGAATTCTTTTACGCAAGTAAATGCGTGAAATTTCTTTTCACTAGCTCAGTGTTCCAGCTACTGTGAATACTATCAGTGAATCTGAAATTTCACTGAATGATTCTGGAAGTAATGACAGTTTTTTGTTTGACTTTTCTAGTGATGAAGAAACGGAAAGTATAGATAATCTAACGCAAATTCAGAACTTTTGTGAACTTGATATTAATAATCCTTCTTTCTTGATATTAATAATTCTTCTTTGGAATCGAACAGATATGTAATAACAATAAAGCATTTTAAATTCTGACATTTATTTTTGTAAAGTGTTCTTTCCAGTTCGCTTACTTGTTAAAAAAAAGCCAACTTGATACTATTTTGGTAGATGGTTACACAGATTTTTGGCAATTTACTTTGCCGCAATTGTTGGTGCGGTTTTTACAATTGTCAGCCATCTTGAAAAACGCTGTTTTTACGTTATTTTGCCCATAGTAAAGTATTCGAAACTTTAAAAAAATAAATATCGTTAAAAATAATGGATTAATTTTTTTTTTTTTTTTTTTTTTTTTAAAGGGCAGGCAAATGTAAATAAATACATTTACTACTAGTATAAAATGCTAAAGTAAGGTTAAATTATTACTTTCCTATAGCACAGAAATAGAATAGAAACATCTCTATAAAAACATTGCGCCAATGTTTAACTGGATTAAAATATTACGTAAATTAAATATCGAATTAAAAACCATCATACTAACATTTAAAAGAATTAAAATATTACTATCATTCAAATACTTTAAAATAAGTAAATAAGTAACACTTTGTACACTAGAGCTAAAAATGACAGCAATTAGTTTATTGCCGGTAAAAAAAGGGAGAAATGTGTAATACTTTTTTTACCATTACAGCAGTTATTTCTTCCACCGTGACCACAATCCCATATACGGCCGTCCTCAGAATTGGCTCTTCTAACCATCTTCATCTGTGATCCACATTTTTCACACTTCATTGAAGAAGCAATTAGCCAGGTTTCCTCCAAAAATTTAAAATAAATTTCCTCTGACCCTTGTAGCAATTTATAAATAAATCTTTGATTGGGAAAGCCAGGTTGGCGAAAATAAGGTCTTAAAGGGCAATTTTTTTTTTTTTTTTTTATTCCGATACCAATAATTCTTGGTACTTACCAATATCAACACTAATCTTTGAAAGGGACATATCCATTTCTTATGAAATCTAAGGAATTCAAAGAGATGAACATTAGATTAAAATTACAGATATTAAACCAATTACTTTTAAAGCAAGGTGACGTCATTGATTACATCATCCACAACATAAATTATAGAAAATGTCATAAACAATAAAATTTTTATTTCAAATAAAAATATAAAATTAAATTGATTTTTAATATTTAGAAGCCATAAATAATATTTAAAACAAAGAATTTATGCATAACAAAACGCATTATTTTTTAAATAAAATGACGACAAAGTATCGGTTACCATAAGTAACTTGTCCAGGAATGGGTTTACCATAAGTCGTATCGCTCGCCAAAAAAATTCCCCAAAATCCGTGCAACGATCTACCAAAGTAGCACCGCCAACTTTAGGGGAAAATGTGCTTTTTACGATTAAACTAAAAACTAGCATAAATCAATAAATTCAACACTTTTAATAGTTCTGACTGCTGATTTGGGTTTATATAATGAATTTCTTCGTAAAAATGTTTATCAAAAATATGCTAATTTTTTTTATTATATAATATGACGGAAAAAAGAAACTGTTAAGTGGTTAAACATCATGCTAGCAAAAATTTAATTTGTGAAATTGCTTTTTTGTGATATGGTACTTTAATTGTGTTTTCTAATTCAGGCCTCTAAAAATATTAGACGAAAAAAAACACCTTCATGTCATAGATTTTGAATAAAATTATGAAGGCGATCAGATACAGATCCTTCTTTTTCAGGAAAAAGAAAATTTGCAAAATGGGATGAACAGTAACTGTTTTTATGTAAAAAAGAAATGGAGGGAGCTAAGCAAGCATAAACAATTGTCACTTCTCTTCAGTATAAAAACAATTGTCACTTCTCTTCAGTGTAAAAACAATTGTCACTTCTGCCATTTTGAAATTTTTCTTTTCCTTGCTGAAGAATAGGGGCCTGTGTATGATCACCTTGACATCAGTAGTATTTTATTCAAAATCTAGGTCAAAAAAAAGATTGCATTCTTGCTGGTTTTAAACTTCACTTTGGCATGCTTCACATATGTTTGACCCTAAAAATGCATTAAACAGAGAAAATCAAAGTAGCAATAAAAAGGCTTATGTTAGAAAACAGTTTTACATGCCTTTATTGCTGCATTTATTTTTACTATTATATTAAATTTTATGTTCATTTTTAGTCAGATGATGACATTGAGTGGAAGGTTTTAAAACCACAGATTTTTGCTGCTATTATGGACTTTTTTGCGACTGGTCTGCCAGTAGTGACATGTGATCCACCAGCATCTGATACAAGTAGCTATATTTTTCAATAAATATTTTGGAGGGGAGGGGAAGAATTTAGATTATTTTTAAGTCACAACTGAGTTAACTGAGGTAAAAAAACTTCAATTTAAATTTAAAATTTAATCAAAATTCATTTGTAAAATAATCGTAAATTCAGTTGCTTTTATCTGGTTTAGTAACGATAGAGTTCTTGCAAAATGAAATTTTTTAAATTATGTATGTAGATACATAACATTTATAAAAGTATTAATTACAGAAGAATTTTAATTATCTGGATTTATTTTTATGCTTTCTAGGCCAAGTAAAATGAAGCTTGTAGTTAATTTATTCACATTTTTATTTTTTCATTTAAAAATTTTTAAAAATAATGTTTAAAATAGTTATTATACATATTCTTTTAAGGAGTTGTTAAATTAATTGAGAAAGTTGAGCACAGTATGCAGTACTGTAGGAAATAATGTCTTAATTTAATTTGAATTAAATAGAAGTCTTCTTTTAAAATTTTACATTTTGTTTTTGTGCATATTGTAAATAAAGATATGCAAGTTTGAAGAGAAATGAAAAATATTTATTGTATATACCCGTGTATAAGTTGATCCCCCGACTCTGGAGAAAAATTTTTGGAAAAATGAATTTTTCACCGATAAAACAGCATACCGATGAACTTGATAAAATTACATTCTCACTTTAGCGAATATTTGCTTATTTCCATTTTAGCACATGATAAAATTTTAAAATATATACAACATTTTCAGAGAATTTCAATCAAATCCTTCTAATTCTGATTCAAAGTCAGAATCTGCAAATAAATACTTTTCTAGTAAATAGAAAATAAAATCAAAAGAAATTTAATAAAAAACTAATAAATAAAATTGAAAGAATAAATAAAAATTTTGTGTTTTTCTGTATGAATGATATATTTAATAATCAAGTTCACTGACATGTCATCAATCAAAAGCAGTAGTTGTGGTTTTTTTTTTTTTTTTTTTTTTTTTTTTTTTTTTTAAGGTTTTGTATATAAGTTGACACCCTACTTTGAAGTTTGACTTTTCCCCTTTAAAATTGTCGACTTATACGTGCGTATATATAGTAAATATTTTTTTTAAATTGTCTTTATTATTAACATTTAGAGCAACTGAAAAATTGTGCTTTTAAATTATTAATTCTGAACTTCTTTAGCATTAGTTTATGAAATAAATCAGTATCTAAAATGTACTATCTCCATATACAGGGTGAATAATTAACTCATAATCAAGTTTAACCAAAATCAGTTGCATTTTCAAACCTTAGATTTTATTAATTCCTGAGTTTTCTAACTCTTTTTATGTCACTTGCATAACTTTTGAATTGCATAACTTCTTGAATTTTAGCTAATATTTTGAACAGTGAATAATACACAGTGAAACTGTTAATTCTCTAAGTTGAATATCCAGCAGTTGTTAGCAAAAGTGGGTACTTGCGTATTAACGCTACCACCCTGGCGCAATTTGGCAATTTTCTGCAGATGGAAAGGTGAAAGTTTCTTATCAGGTGCAAGTTGGTGATTTTCATGATTTTTTTTTTAATAAGATTCTCAAACTATTGATATTTACTTTAAATCAGCAAACATTATCAACATATATATATGTATGTATGTAAGATAAAAAATTATGTAAATGAGTAAGATAAAAAAAGTATGTAAATCAGAAGTATAATTTAAACTAATGGTAATCTCTTACTTCTTCCCCTCTATCCTAAAAATTGTAATAACTCGTCTCGATTGCATCATTTCTAGATCAATCCATTTTGCATGGCCTGCGCAATGCTGATGATATAGTTATTTTGGAATCTAAACTCTGAGAACTGGAATCTTTCTAACTTAAACCAACACCTTTCTCTTTACAGATTGCCAAATTGGATAAATGTGGAGTTAGCTTGTAGCTCTGTTGCCGCTTGAAAAATCATTGCATTTCATTTGTGCTTTGTCATACTGCTAACTATACCGTTATTTAAAATGTGATAATCTATAAAAAACTGTCGTGTGCATATTGCACCTATGATCACATGTAATGAAAAATATGGTTTTGATAATTAGTTTATGTTCAGCAATAAAGATTATGCTCAATTAGGCTACGTCCGTCTATAAAGTCTCTCTTTTGTGTGTCATCTTTTTAATTATGCAGCAGTCTCACCAAGTTTTTATCACATATATATAAATATATATAGAAACATTTTAGTAATTTAAATACAAAATATTATTAAATGAGGATTATATGATACAATAATAATTAAATAAAATAAAACTTTTTTTTTTTTTTTTCAAAATCGTTCTGTAATTTTATTTTTTGATCTCCTCATGTACACAGCACTATGTTTTTGCTTAAAAAACATCAGAGAATTGCACAAACGAGGCATCATGCATAACTTTTGCATTATTAGGAGGCTTGCCTGTCAAAATATTGTCATTATTCCATCCATTAATGACTTTGCTGTAAAAATACTGTATTCTTGCAGAAATTTTATGACAATTTCTGCTGTTACTAGCAGAGTATACAACCGAACATTTTTAAATTGCACCTCAGGCATAAAAGGAAAACAAAAAGAATATCTCAATTTGTCTCTATAAACCGTTGAAACTTGGAACAAAAAGAGCACTTAAGAAAATGGCAGTGTTGCTTGACTGAAAGATTTTATGACTATGATTGCCTGAAGAATGTGTATGCACATGATTGCCGGAGCTCAGCACATTCTGGTAATTTGACAATTTCTACTAAGGTGGTTACGATAAAACATAAGAACCCCAAAATGAATGTCCATAAAGTACTGCATTTAATTTCATTGCTCTAGAGGAAAAATAGGAAAGAAGTATACTTATTTCCATGAAATTATAAATATTTATATATGACCATTCAGAGAAGAATGTGGGAGCCATGTAAACTGCTTTTCTAAATATGTTACATGAAAAAACTTTGATTAAAATATCGTAGATCGATATTGTAAAATTTTATTTGAATTTGTAAATTCCAATTAGATATGTTCATACTTGTATGTATTGTATTAGTGCAAAGTCCGAAATCTTGACGGCCATTATCCGGAATGATCTAAAATCCAGACCTCAAAACCACCAACAACATTTTTTTCTCTTAGGCTTTATGCATGCGCATTTGATTCCCCCCCTCCATGCATAATAAAACATCTGGAGAGTCCCGATTCTTAATTTCACTTCGACACTAAATAAAATACCTTGTTATTGAAGAAACAATCATTTTGGCATAAATTTGGCTCCATTTCTGCGTATCTGCTTGGCACACATCTCAAACCTAAACTGTCCACATAGATACATCGTTGACCTGACACCAACCTGGCGAATCGTTATTTTTATACTTTCCTTTCATCACTGCATGTTTATCAACACATGACAACTTGAGTAATGACTCATGTAGCGATGTCTAAACAATTTTTTGTGTTAGTAATTAAATAATAAATGAGTATGGTAACCTTTTATGTTGACATTATGCTTGGCAGTTGTTGCAGATTTAAGTTAAATGTACAAAAAATGTTGACGAGAAAATATTTAACAAAAATATCTTTCCATATGCTAAAAATAGATTTTGTTGATGACACTCATAGACCCAAAGATTATGTTTAGGCCTGTTTAAATTAAGAATAACTAATTTGTTATTCACATAAACCCAGAACTAGTGCCAGGGCTCGTATTCCCGCACCGGGTCGAGAATTTAGGACCCACAGAGACTGCATCAGGCGGTAAGATATCTAGCACTGGCCCTCAATAAGGCTTAAGTATATGTGGGAATTTATTTATTCAAATCTCTGATAAGCTTTAAGCATGTGCAAGAAATAGGCATAAGTATAATAAATAACTGAACTAATACAATTCAGGCTTAATTGTCTCAGTATGTGATAGTAGCAAGATAAAATTTAACAGAACAACTTGTTGTTAGTCGCCAAGCTCATGATGCATAGCCAAATATGTATAGTAAACAACAGCTAAATTTCATGATGATAGCTTCAAATTTTAAAGGTTTTCAGATATCACAAAACAAAGGTGAAATTTTCCAATTAACGGATTTTGTAAAGAAATGTGGAGAAGCGGTAACAAATGAAAATGATATAAAAGAAGTTTTTCATTGTGATGACAATGCTTCTCAATCATCAATCAATTAATAAATGGCAAAATCTGTAGTATGGTTCTAGATCCAGAAAATACCGCTACTGATAGTGAAGAAAGTGACGGAGAAGTTATTGAAAACGAAAAAATTTCAACTGACAAGTTACTTGGAATTCTCGACACAGCAGTTACAGGACTTCAGCAATGTAACTAAACAAGAGATTCTGTCTGTGTACAGAATTAAAGAGAAAGTATTAGCACAAAAAATGAAGCAACTTAAGCAACTTACATCGAAAGAAATGTTTAATGAGGCAAACAAATAAACATTAAGCTTTTTTTTTTTTTTTTTTTTTTTTTTTTTTTTTTTTTTTTGTGTAAATTTTGATACCCTTTAGATCAGTGGTTCTTAACTGGGGAGAGGTGCGGGAATGTATTTTTGAGGGTGCGAGAGAAGCCCCTACCTAATCATAAAAATTATTAAATATCATTTATTAAATTTCTTATAATATTTGAAATCTGCAATAGTGTCCCCAATATTGAAGCTCATAAAAATTAATAGCACCTAGCTCACTTATCGGCAAAAGACACAGGAAAGAGCCGGTGCCGATGGGTGTATACAGTATGCTACGAAAGGGCATGAAACGCTACAAACGAACGCGACCCGGCAGCTAGGTGACGGAGAAAAGAAAAAAAACTTTGTGGGAATACAAGCGGAGAATGTTATCCCAGCATACATTTGAGATGATTGAGCGAATCATTCAATGGATATTTTTCTACCGGAAGTATTACCAAAACTCAGAGATGGATACTGGATCCATTTCTATTTGACTTAAATTTGATGGATGATAGTGATCTGAAAAAAGATCATCTTATTGAAATGCGAGAAAGTGGACATGTTCAAATGGAATTCGAACAATTAGAACTGCAAGCAATTCTGGTGTTCACAGTTACAATATGTTATCCAGAATTGGCGAACGGAGCAGTGCATTTACTCTTACCCTTTTGCTACCAACCTACTTGTGCGAAATGGGATTTTCATCGCTTTTGCATATAAAACTAAAGTGAGAAATATCTTAAATGCAAGTGATGACTTACGCATATGTCTTTCAAAAAGGAACCTCGCTTCGCCAGTAATATAATGAACAAACAACAACAGACTAGTCATTAATAAAAATAATATTGTTTTGTATTTATATTAAAATGTACAATGTTTTTCAATAAACAATAAGTTTTCGCAAAAAAAATGTTTTTTTTCTAGACTAAAAAATTAAAAACACATTTTTCAATGGGGTGCGGAGATATATTTTCAGATTCAATGGGCTGCAAATCGCTAGAAAGGTTAAGAAACACTGCTTTAGATTATAAATATTTTATTATTTCATAAATCATGATTTCATATTTTTAATTTTATAATTTGTACATGCCATCTTACGAAACTTAAACTGATGATCTAATATCCAGAAAAATCCAGAATCACCGAAGTCCCGATGAGTCCGGATTTCGGACTTTGTACCGTATTATTACAGAGTGTAGTGAGTTTTAGATCTCATAGATTGATATAATATTGTATGAAATTCAAATCGGAAGTTTGTGAAGTTTGTTCATCTTAATTAGCTTAAGGAAAGTGACTTAATATTGCCAGTTTTTCAATTATTATTATAATTAGTATGTGTCTAACTCTTACTACAGTGAGTAAGTAATATAACTATTTCTGGTTGTAATGTGTTTCATACACAATAATGTTTGTTTTATGTGGAACTTTTGCATTAAGTACTTTTATGTACTTAAGTATAAATTATTAAATATAAAACTCATAATGGTATTGCTTTGCCAATGATTATAAAAGTTATTGAATGGTTTAATGTTATTATATAACAACATCAACTTATGGAAATAATACTGTGAATTCTAACTGTGATGAAACACAGCCTTGGTTATTTAGAAAATGTTCTTTGTGTGCTTTAATCTATTTTAAAAAATCATTATATGAAAAGTAGGTTTCTCTTCTTATTTATTAATTGTATAATTTTCATTCATTAGCTGTTGATGATGATGATGATGAAACTGTACAGATGATAAAAGAATTGCTTGAAACTAGAATTAGACCTGTGGTTCAAGAAGATGGTGGTGACATTATATATATGGTATTATAATACATGAAACTATTTTTTAAGAATATATCATATGTATTACTATATTAAAATCTCAATGAATATTCACTTAATGTAATTAATTGTTTTTCTTTTATATTAATTCTAAGAGTATAGTATATAAAGTTTAATAAATGATTTTATGTAAAAATTTAATAGAAACTTTTAGTTGAAAAGCCAGCTTTTATCTTTTAATATGTCCCATTTTTTCTTCCTTTATTACGTGTTATATCCTTCCTTCGACAATGGTCCGACAGCCCAGGGTGGGCTTTGGCATTCTCAAGAAGCTTTTCCCAGGTCAGTTTTCTCCCTGTTAGCATTTTCCAGTTTTGGGTTTGTAAGGTCAGTAGGTCATTTTATAGGCAGTGTAACATCTTAGATTTGGTTTCCGCATGCCTGTCGGTCTGATGTTGAAATCTTTTTTTGTTGCACAGTTTTCATCCATTGTGATAATGTGGCCTGTGCATTTTATTCTTTGGCATTCAAGGAAATGAATGATGTCAGGTTCATTATATGAGCAATATAGCTCCAAATTTGATCTTCTATGCCACATACCATCTTTTTGTATTTCTCCAAAAATACTTCTTGAAACCTTCCTTTCAAACGCCCAACATATCCTCATTCGTGCTCATCATGGTCCAAATTTCACATGCATATGCCAAAATTAGTCTTATATGGCTCTTATACAATAAAACCCATGTTTTTCTTTGAATTACACTTGATTTCATATATTTTTGTATTCTATTGAATCATCCATTGGCTGCAGTAATTCTGTTTGTATTTCTATAGTATTTCTCTTTGTATTTGAATAGTATTTATATTCTTTGTGTTTCTATAGTAATATTGTCCCTGTTGTTAAATTCAGAGTCTATATATGTAAAGCTGTCAACAGTTTCCAATTTATATTCTTCAATTTCTGAGTGTCCTTGAAGTCTGTTTTATTGCATGGCATCTATTTTGTTTTATTTTCATTAATTCTCAGGCCCATCCTGAGTGCCGCCTTTCTCTAGAGATATAAAAGCCCATTTTAGTGCTGCTGGTTTCTAACGATAATGATAATGTCATCAGCAAAAGCCAATTACTGTGTCAGTTTATTAAAGATGTTTCCTCTGGTATTAATGTTTGAATCTCTTATTACTTTTCTAGTGCCAGATTGAAGAGAATGCATGCCAATGCATCACCTTGTCTAATGGCACTGTCGAAGTATTTTTACCATGCATGTTATATAGAATGTGAAATTATTCCGATAGTTAAATTTTAGCTGTGATTGCATATATCAGGATGCTTGCAACAAAATAAAATGGGTGTAATGATTATTTTATTTATTGTATTTATTATTAATTTGTAAAATGTTTTCCAAGAGTAGTTCAGTTCTGTAGTATGTTCACCTTAAATTGTATACATAATCTTTCATAAACAAAATGTGCATAGGCATATACTATAAACCTTATGAAATAGATAAATAAATATTTGCAGGACTGGATTGAATTAGGTACATTACGGCAAAATATGTTAGGGTTATCTGCCTAAGAAACAAGATGCCTTCGTAAAAGATTTGCAAGGGAAATTGGCTTGTATTCATGTTATCTATGTGAAAAACTACGAAAAGTCTCATACAACCAACCCTTTCATCAAGATTTAAACCTATCTCAAACTAACCAATGTTCAGCAATCTTACCACTAAGCACACCAGTAGTCTTTAAGTTTAAGAGTTTTCACGGTTTTTACGATGTGTAATCTGACTACAAGTCAATTTCCATAGGATGTCTTCTATGAAAATATACCTTCCCTTAAATATATAAGCTTTAATGCGCTTTGTCATAATCCAATCCATAGTCCTATGGATTCAAATATTTACATGTCTATTTCATAAGGTGAATACAAGTGTAAGTCTCAGTGGGATGAACCACTGAACATGTGTATGAATTTAAATATGTAGCTAATATTTGCAATGCTTGTATGCATAAAAGCATTGCTGATATTACAAGCATTGCATGCTTTCTCTGCAAAATTTTAGATCTTGATCTAGCTTGAAGGAAAAAGTATGCATTTCACATACAATATAATAATAATATTAAATAAAATAATTTTATTTTATAGTTTTTACATTTTCATTCAGTTTTAAAGGAAAGGGATTAAACTGTATTTGAATTTATTCTTTACTGCTTTTATGTGAATTTTGAAATACATCTTTTGTTAACTAGGTCTCCAATGTAGTCCAGTTCCCTTCCCATAGTATGATTAATAGAATTTTTGATATTATGAAGTTATGAAGACTGTTCCTTGGGGAAGATTAGGAAAATAGATATTAAGTACAAAGCTGAACATCTGCTGCTAAATTCCTAATCCTCCCGATACTGGAGCTAATAACTTTTACTGTATCCTATGATCAACTGTGAGTACTTAACAAAATCACTAAACATCCATTCATGTTTCCCATAGTTAGTTAAAAACATAAAATCTCAACAAAGCTGAGAATCTTTAATGTTAAAGTTAAATGGAACTAGGTTAAGGAAAATAAGGTAGGTGGGATCAAAGCTTCCATCCAAGTTCTTGAAATTTTTGCTAGATGAGTTTGTATGTCATCCTGATAGAATATTACTTTGTAACAGATAGGATATTTTTTACCAGTACTGAAAGAAACATTTCAAATGGTGGGTGGATAAATTATTACTAATGTTGGTATAGTTCATAATGTATCAAACTCGACTGCTGTTGCCAGCAAATGAGTAACACCTTCCCTACCAGCGTGCCTTATTGACATTTCATGGAGCTTTTTCTTTTCTGGTCCGGTATTTTTCATGTTTAACATTAACTTATATCACTCATTTTTCATCACTAGTTACCATTTGATGCATACACATTCCAGGCTGCTGTGAGATAAAAAGAAATAACTATTAGTTGTTTCAAAATATACCATCAGGTCAAAACAAAATCATGCTTTTTGTTGATCAATTTCAGTCATTGAAGGCAGAATGAAAATGGCTATTATGCTGGAAGAATGTACGTTAAAGGAATAGTGGACTGTAAGGTGAGGAATAAATGGGACTGTGCATCTTACAGCAATGTACTGTAGCAGTGTCAAGTTGAAATTTGCTGAAAATATGCTGTCCTTCTGAGTTACAAGTTGTTCTATCACAACAGTGTCAGGTTTCATGCAACAAAAACTAATGCAGCAGCAACCCAAAGACTTGGATGCAGGAGATATTGAGGCTGTTATATATTAATGGGATAAGAATCTGAATAAGAATTGAGGTTATGTCAACCCAAGGTAGGCCATAGCTTTTCTTAGAACCTTCTTCCATTCTGCTCTCCATTTGTCTAGTTTTCCAGTTTGTAAACAAGAACCTTAGGCTTGTGTATGCTCCCTGAGGGCTTGTGATTGGGCTGCTTCCAGTCTACTAACAATTCTTTGTCTCATCTATTATCCATATATTCATGGCTACTCATTTTACCATATAAAATTTACCCAACTCTTGCGAGAAATACGACGAATGTGGTGAAGGAGTATAAACACAAATCACCGAAAACCCCTTGTGTGCTTATATCCATTCCATAATTACAGGTCCACAAATACGTAAATGTATACTTATGTATTTGAGATACGTAAATGTATACTTATGTATTCACGCAGAGCAGCGTGAAATTGATAAACAGATTTCGGAACGGTTAGATAAACAAAGGATATGGCTTTATCCATTTTTTTGTAGCAGTTCGTTTTTTGTTTGATGGAATCGAAAATACTTTCGTTTCTAGATTCTTTGGGAGCTCCAGCATCGGAAATTCTATTGACATATCGAAAGTTTAAGCGTACTTTTATAAAATTGCTCTTACAGTCTGCAAAAAATAAAGCCGGATCCAATTCGAAGATTAAGGAACAACGCAATCATCAACATTAACTCAAATAGATAATTAGATAATTTTAGCTTATACCGTCCGTTATACATTAAACACGCACGCGAAAACGTATTCTGCGCTTGCGCAAACGCATATGCGCAGTCGTAAATGTCTTGCGCGCACGCGTAAAACGCCTATGCGCATACGTCCACGCGGCGCATGTGCAGAAAGATTTTAGCTTTGAGGTCCGGATTATGGGTGTCCGAATTAAGGACTATTGACTGTATTTTCTCTTGCTTCTGTTTGTTCTATACTGTTTACTATGTCAGTTCCTCCCCCCCCAGGGTTTTGAAGATGGTTTAGTGAAACTGAAGATGCAAGGAGCATGTACTAGCTGTCCTAGTTCAGTTGTTACTCTAAAAAGTGGTGTGGAAAACATGCTTCAGTTTTATATACCTGAAGTTAAAGGAGTGGTGCAGGTAAATATATAATTTTTTCTATCTGTTCTGATATTCGTAATTATTCAAAATCACTGTGTCTTGATAGTTTTGCTCCAATGTATTGAGACGGGTACATATCCTACTGTCTTTACTTTCTGAAACAAATGGTAAATGAGATATTGCCTGTTTGTTTATTGCAATTAATTTGTATTTAACTAAAGATTAAATGTTATTTTTTATAATGATTAGAAAAATGGTAAATAGGATTTGATCAAAGTATATGTTTATGTACAACTGGCACAAAAAAAAAGGTAGAGTTGAAATTTAACTTGTGTTTTCCATCTCTCGAAAGCACAACTTAAGATATATATATATATTATATTTATATAAAGCATTGTTCTAACATGGGTATTTTGACACAAAATTGGACTTTTTCTGAAATAACATACCAATCGTTTTCCATATTCCACCAGCTAAAGGTTCAACTTTAGCAGTGTTTTAACATAGATCATATCTCATAGCGCATCTCATAAGCATAAATATCTCATGACCCTCTATTAAGGAACATTTTTTCATTATTCTAGTTCATACTAGGAATTTTAATTAGTAAAATCTTTCTTTCAAATACTAATACAGTTAAAACATTCATTTAAGATAAGTCTTATGCAGTCATAAGCACGAATAGTACAAATAGAATAAAAAATCGCTGATTGTCATTAAATTTTTTATGTAAAATCATGATAGGAAAATATGAAATTAAAATTAATTAGAGACAAAAGAATTATTGTGTATAAATATACTAATAATAATTTAATGACAAAATAAGCATTTTAACGAGAATTTTTTATTTTAAATATTCATATAAACATCTAAAATATTCTTTGCTGCAATTTAGCGAGATGCTTGGTCTTGTTTCTGTAAATGCAATTTTTGCATATCTGGGTCTGTGTTCAAAAGAGCTACACACAGTTCATATTCAGAATTTTTCATAGTGGTCTCTAAGTTCTTGTGAATGGTAAAAGAAAGTTCATAGCTTTTTTGCTGATGGATTGCTTACCACCTTTATAAAGTCATTAAATGTAGACTTTAATTCTAGAGGTAAACTATTTGATATGACATCTTCTCTTTAAATAAAGTGAAGTGAAAATCAAGGTTTTCAGACTGAATCTCAGATATCAAGTCTATGATTTTTCTTGTCATTATAATCATGCCATCAATATAAAAACTTATGGGTTTGTTTTTGAAGTTTTTTGTAGAAAAAATAATGCACTTTCAATTCTTTCTCATTGGTATTTAAATAAGTGCAATTAGCTGACACCAGTTGCTAGCATTTGTTCATTCATCAAGCTGTAAGGAAAATGTTGTGTCATCAGAAATATTTTTAATTAACATTATTTTTATATTAACTGATCCATCTTCTGATGATCATATTTAAAAATGGTATTTTTTCAGTTTTTTGTTTAATTCATCGATTCCAAGCATCGTTTTGACAATTTCCATACAACCTGGTAAAATGAGTGATTCAACAAATGTGTGAGGCTTTACTATCAATTTCTAAACTTTGTAACTTGAATTCAGTTAGATACCATTGTGGCTGATCTCATAAAAGTACTTTGCATCCGAGTTTGAATTTGCACATATTTAAAATAGTTAAAATCCTTGCCTATGTATGAAGGATACTTTGTAGAAAGGTGCCAGTGAGTTTACTTGACACCATTGCTTCATATGAAAACTTTCCACATGACACACAGAGATACACTGAGGCAAAGAGTTATCAGAGTGCACAAAACTGAAGTTCAGATAATATGCCTTATATAGTCCATGATGCCTTACATTTTATCTTTGGTTCATCTTCATAGGTTTATGAATTTAATGGATTTGGGAGTTTTTAAAATACTTTTCCATTTGGGGAAAGAATTAAAAGTTAAATTTAGGATTAAAATATATGCAGAATGAAAACTTAAACAAGCCATTGAAGAGAAAATACAAATTCCATGAAACTAAAAATAATATTATAATTGAGGATATCAGAAAGACACTGTAGTTAGGGCATTTCAGATGCCCTAATTACATGCTTAAAATGCAATTTTTGTGATTGATCAATAAACTGACAGTTGCAAAAAAAATTGCGAAAGTTATGAAAAATGGATTTTATATGTAAAATTGCAATGCTACAGCAGTTTCTACCAAAAAAAAAAAAATAATAATAATAATTCATAAAAGTTGCCAGCAGAAGTTGCATATAAAAAGTCATTTGATAGTAAAACAGTAACAGGGTCTCATCAGTCCTTATTTCTTCAAAAAGAACGACCATTGTGGATGTGGTTTTTTTCTATGCTTTTGACCTGAACCTGATGGAAACTTACAAAAGCTGATATTTGATGAATAAAAATTAAAAAGCTGATATTTTTTTGGTTCAATAGGATAGTGCTATAGGTGAGTTTTGGAGCACTGAAGGACCAGCTCAGTCTTCTGACCTAATGTCCCAGTCTGTTATTTAAATTCACCAAATTAGTATTGCTGTGTTATAGTAAAGTATTATCCAAATTTTTGTGAATGTCTACAAGAGTCCATTAATTATAATAAAAACTACCTTCCTAAGATGCTAATATATTACAATAAATTGTTGTAAACCCTCCTCATATTGCTAACAATTCTCATGTTCAAATCATAATATTAACATGAAAAACATATCTTTATGTTCCAACTTATAGGTGTTGTGTGGAATGGGTGAATACACAAAATATTGAACTTCAATTTTTCATTTAAATTCATTATTGAACTTCAATTTTTCATTTTTCATTATTTGTTTTTCATTTAAAAATTTAAATTCTAAAATTTACTGTTATCAAAGATTTAATACCATGAGTTATTCTGTGTTACAGTTGCAAAAACAATATTTCACAGTTAATTAAGACACAATAACACGCCGAACAAATACCAATTCAGAAGTCAAACAACAAAAATCAGCGTTAATTCACAAAATTTCGCAGGACTAGTTTCGATGGTTTTACCAAACCATCATCTTCAGCTGCAAAACCGCAAATGAACAAGATAGGAAATAATGTTTGGATAAGATAAGAAAGCCTGGACAAGAATAAGCAAGTGGCGCCATCTGTTGGCGAAACCAGAACTAAAACATAATTTCTCTAAAAGCCGAAGGCAAATTTGGATTGGAATTAGGATCGTTAACTAGCACAGAAAGGCTTTTATGAATGTGAAATGCCTCTAGAAAATCCAGTTCTCCAATGGAAGATGTTTTTTGAATAATTTTGGCAGCAGAAAAATTGAAAGTGTGATTTTCGGACCAACAATGTTGAGCAACAGAAGACTTCTGTGTTTCCTTTCTTCCAACATATGCCTCATGTTCTTTGACGCGAAATTTTAAGGTTTTCTTAGTTTGGCCAATGTAAATTAAACCGCACTGGCAAGGAATCCTATAAATACCCCAGGAATTCATATCCGGAATGGGGCCCTTGAGTATAGAAGTTGGAATTTTATTGATGGGAGAGTAAACAACCCGAAAGTTAAATTTCTGCAAAATATGTGCAACTTTATAACTAATTGATGGAAAGAAGGGAATGACAACAGAATTTTTATAATCTCCTAAAATAAGAGTGTGGCTTTTAGTGTGTTGAGATGAGAATTTTTAACTGCTTGATTAATAATGTTGGGTGAAAAGCCCCTGTCAATAGCTATGCTTTTAAATAATTTAGTTCTTCATCAAGGGCTAGTTTGGAGGAGCAAACTTGAAGAGCACTATAAAAATTCTGTTGTCATTCCCTTCAAGTTTGCTCCTCCAAACTAGCCCTTGATGAAGAAGAAGAACTAAATTATTTAAAAGCAATAGCTATTGACAGGGCTTTTCACTCAACATTATTAATCAAGCAGTTAAAAAATTCTCATCTCAACACACTAAAAGCCACACTCTTATTTTAGGAGATTATAAAAATTCTGTGTCATTCCTTCTTTCATCAATTAGCTATAAAGTTGCACATATTTTGCAGAAATTTAACTTTCGGGTTGTTTACTCTCCCATCAATAAAATTCCAACTTCTATACTCAAGGACCCCATTCCGGATATGAATTCCTGGGGTATTTATAGGATTCCTTGCCAGTGCGGTTTAATTTACATTGGCCAAACTAAGAAAACCTTAAAATTTCGCGTCAAAGAACATGAGGCATATGTTAGAAGAAAGGAAACACAGAAGTCTTCTGTTGCTCAACATTGTTGGTCCGAAAATCACACTTTCAATTTTTCTGCTGCCAAAATTATTCAAAAAACATCTTCCATTGGAGAACTGGATTTTCTAGAGGCATTTCACATTCATAAAAACCTTTCTGTGCTAGTTAACGATCCTAATTCCAATCCAAATTTGCCTTCGGCTTTTAGAGAAATTATGTTTTAGTTCTGGTTTCGCCAACAGATGGCGCCACTTGCTTATTCTTGTCCAGGCTTTCTTATCTTATCCAAACATTATTTCCTATCTTGTTCATTTGCGGTTTTGCAGCTGAAGATGATGGTTCGGTAAAACCATCGAAACTAGTCCTGCGAAATTTTGTGAATTAATGCTGATTTTTGTTGTTTGACTTCTGAATTAATATTTCACAGTATTAAGATGTCCATGATACGGGGGATGATTAATCATCCCCAGTTTTTAATTAGAGATAATTTTTAAGTAAAAGAACATTTTTCAATGATAACTTTATCAAACAGATATTAATCTTATATCACACCTCCTCTTTTAAAATTTAGGTTACAGATGAAGTGGATGAAATTGCTGAAAAGGAATTCAGAACATTTGAAGAAAAGCTAGAAAAGACTGACAACTGATAATTAAAATCATGTATTTATTGTACAGTTTAGATTTAAAAAATTTAATCTGCAAGCCAGATTTTAGTGTCAATTTAAAAGTGAATCTATAATTTGTGAACTATAAAGAAAAGGTAAACATAAAATTTATATTGTGAAAACTATTTCATTTTAAAAATCATTTATTATTACAATTGTAGCAGTTATGTTTTTTACACAATAGTCATACAAAAGTGAATATTTATATGAGCATGATAAAAAAAAATAGTCAACAGATTCCATATAAAAAGTATTCAAGCACAGCATAACTAATTATGAACACATTTATAAAACAGCTGCATTGAGATTCAAAACAAACACAAGAAAATATTACAAAACTACAACATAAAAATGGTTCAGTGATTTGGTGACCTAAAACCTGAAAGGTCATCAAAAGAAAAAATATAATTTATAATCAACATTTAAAATATAACAACTGCATGAATAACAAATTTATTCAGAAATACAAAATATTTTCAGATACGTCTATAATTCTGAATGCCTTTGGAGAATACGATTAGTTAGTTCCTTCTGAATTTTCTCTACCTGGAAGATAAATATACATGATAATCAGCTTAATGTCAAAAATTATAAAAAAATAGTTTAAGAAATTCACATTTTAATTTAATTATTTATTTTTTCCATACATATACAGAACATTTAATGAATGAAGGACACCTAATAAGTGAAGAATCACGGCTTAATCATCTACATACATTCCTTCCAACGTTATACATTGCTTATTATATTCACAGAACTTCTACATGAAAATAAGAAGAGAATTTATCATCTTGACTTTTGTGAAACATTCAGAAGAATGCCTTCATAAAAGTCATTGAAAAATTGTTATGCTTCTTGAATTTCTGAAATGATCTAAAAAGGTAAGATTTTATTCCAGAATATGAAAAGTTATCTGGGATGACTAAGAGCATTTACACTTTCCATTACATATTCTAATGAGAGCTGAGTGCACAAATATTGCTTCTTAATCTTTGAATCCATGATGGTATATATCAAGTGTATGAAATCAAACAAAAAATTTCATTTAAATTTCTCTTCATAAGCAAATAATATATTACAGAAATTAAGTTATGTTAATAATCACATATACTAGTTATCATTTGGCAGCTGGAATTACTACGGAAAAAATCGGTCTTAAAATTTTGTAAATACATTGCACATTATGTAACTATATTGTTATCTAAAATTATCTTTTACATTGTACATAAAAGTACCTCATGAAGCAACCAATTTATTTTATTTTTTGATGAAATGAATAAACGAAAAACCTGATTTATCATTATTCAATCCAATTTGATCAATCTTTCTGAAAGGCAAATAACAGCATGCCTTCTAGAAGTATAACACATGCTTTTACAAACTGTTTCCTTGTAAACTTATGAAATTCAAAGTTTAATTTCAACATTTATAGAATTAAAACAGTTTCTTATAGAAGAATCTCTGAAATGGAGAACTGCTGCCATTAAGAAGCAAGACAGGCAATTATCGAAATGACAAGATGGCTGAATTGTTCAAACAATTAATTACTTTCCCTTTGAAAACATTTAGATTCTGAAACTGTTGCTTACAAACATAAACCAAGGTCAAAGAAATAAAACTACTACTACTTAAACTGATCTCTTTCCATAATTGTCCCATGCAACAAGATATTTGCCACCAGGCACCTTGAGTGCAACCACAGTTTACAGCTACTATTGGAAACAGAATCGGAGTATAATGTGTTCTCTTCAATGACAAATCAAGGTTCATTTTAGCATGATTCTAAACACATGTATAGTTAGGACTAGGAACGCAAAATACTTCTATTAAGAAATATGATTATTACAACAGTGCAAATGTAAGTAATAAGGATTTACTTACAGATGTTCAAATGAGATGTGTCTGTCGAAAGATTTCAGGATGAAAGTCATCGAGATATGTTATGGAAGGTATTTTAGAGATACACATACATCTGAATTTTTTTCCTTAAATGGATAATAATGCATTTCTGCTTGAAAAAAAATATGAAAAAGGGCATTCTTTTAAACTAAACAGTGAATAAAATGGCAAGCAAAATCTTGAATCTTGTATGGAATTTGGAAGACATGCTGCATAGTGAATTCTGCTTTTACAGCTCTCATTTCCTTGAAGGCTATTCTTGATGAAGAGTGTACTTATGCCCTCAATCATTTTACAGGAGATCAAATTATGATATGAATATATGACGTAGAGAAAGATTTCATTCTCTAATACCAAAATTTTCCCCAAGATTTTGATCACATTCTGCATTAAAGTCAAAATTCTGTATTTTTTCTCAAAAGTACTGACTCCCTTGAAATTTTTTTTGTTGCATAGTATTTCAATTTACTTTGTTTCAGAATATCATTTTCAATTTTAATTTATGTCAAAATTCTGCATTTATTTCTGTCGTATTAAGTTTTCTCCCTAAAATTTCACTTTTTTTTCATATTTTCTTTATCTATTAATATCTAAATTCTGTATTTGGTTTCAAGATAATTTTTTCTTAAGTTTCTTACCCCCCAAACACTACTGAATTTTTGTCACATGTTACTTGTTTTATTTGTTTCATAATATAATTTTGAGTTATATGCATTCATATCTAATTATTTTGTTTGCATTTATGTTTTATGATGTTGTGTTTCACTCCAAGTAGAGATATGTAATTTTATTGCACAGTTTATCAGAAATCAATGTTTTTATGTATGTAAAGGTAGTCTGGATGCAAGTGATTACTTTGAAAAAAATATTAACCAAATTTAAAGATGCAGGGGAAAATGGTGTTAATTTTTTTAAAAAAAGAAAGTAAGTGTACTTTGTAATTATATTCTTTCAGTCTTTTCTCTCTTTTGGCCACAACTTCATCAACATGATTACTGTGATCTCTCTCCATTTCTAAAGAGGCCAGAGTTTTTAATTTCCTTATTCTATGCTCAAAATGGTGGAGTTCTCCCTGAAAGGTGCATAATTTATTATATAATACAAAACATTTTTAATATTAAAATAACAATCATGTGTATTAAAAGCCATAAAATGAAAAATATCAGTAACTAGTGATGAGCTATGAAAATTTTAACAAAAGGCTCATATTTCACTGTGTAAAAATAAAATATCAAATTTTAATTAAATGTTTTATTTTTTACAATTAACAAAAAGGAAAAATTTATGCATAAAAGGGAAAAAAGATTTAAAAAATAGATAATAAAATTGTAAAATACACAGAAATTAAATCAAATAATGAGTAAATTAAACTATATTGGGCAATTTATGGCAGGAACTACCACACATTATTTTCTTCATTCACCTCCATTGATGTTCTCTAGACTGTTCCCAGTCAAGCAATGAATTTTTGAGAAATATTTTACATAAGGTTTAAGAATAAATTTGCATTAAGTTTTTCCATTTAAGAAGACTCATTAAATCAAATCTGAAACATGTAGCAAAGAAAGATTAAATCTGAAATGTAGTCAAAGAAGATCATGTTGAAATATGGTTCATCTAGGAAAAACCTTCTCCAACATCAGCACTATTAATAGTGATAGTCTCTGAAATAAGCTTCTTCACACTATTAGGAATTGCATTATACAGTTTTCTTGTTAAACTCATCTCAAAGAAATCCCCAAAATCATTTATTTTCATTCTGTACTTTGATATGAAATAAAAGTATGATTATGAAATTTAAGACATATATTTTTCTCAAAAAATAAAGGAACAAACAAAAAAGAACAAGCAGCTTGTAAATTAGAGAAATTTTATGAAGGACTAGTGCAAGCACCCTGTAGCTCATTATTAACATTGGTACTTATGTATTATCCCTCTGACCATGGAATTGTCAAGCAGCATAACATAAAAATGCATTCTTAAAATTTTGGCTTATGTTTAATGGACATAACTTGATTGGTTCTTGATAAGCCATATTTTTAATTTAGAAGTCAAATAACAAAATCAGCATTATATTTTCAAATTTTCGTAGGACTAGTTTCAATGATTTTACCAAACCATCATCCTCAGCTGCAAAAGCGCAAATGTCCTGCGAAAATTTGAAAATATAACGCTGATTTTGTTGTTTGACTTCTAAATTAATATTTGTTTGGCGTGTTATTGTATCTTAATTAAGCCATAGTTTGTTTATGAACAAGGATATAAATTAAATACTATTGCTGTATTTTGAGAAGGAAAAAAATATTAAAATTTTGGGCCTGCCTTCTACAAAACAGCAAACCTATTGACCAAGAAAGAATGGCCATATTCAACTGACAATATCATGATCACTCATATACACTTTTTTAAATAGTAAGAACCATAACTTTGAAACTACTGCATTCCGTTCTGTGGAAGGCAGGTTCAAAATTTTAATTTTTTTTCTTCTAAAATATAAGGGGGGATATAGCAATAACAGTTAATTTATACCCATCTTCGTGAAATCAAAACATGGTTTAAATGCAGATGTTATGAATATGGAATTTGTCACGCTTATCTGTAATTGGTGCTAAGTCACACTTGGCGAAAATTTCATAGTCAATGGGATAATGCATAAGTACTGAAAATATTCCATTATGGGCTGTTCTGTACCAGACAAGTTCCAAATTAATCTTTTTTTTTTTTTTTTTTTTTTTTCCAAATACAAGAGAAAAACACGGAAACAACGTTAACTGATGTCTGTCTTTATAAAACATAAACAGGGTTATTGAGAACCAAGAGCTGCATAAAACCAAAGCAAATATCTTATGAGTATGTTTTGGCATCATGCTTATCCAGTATGTGTACTAAACTGCATTGTTTGGTGACAGTTTTTTTTTTCTTTTTTTTCTTTTTCTTTTTTTTCTTTCTTTTTTTTTTTTTACTAAATATGTTCAATGAGGAAATAAGTTCTCATGCTTTATTTTAGTGTATATGGCACTGAACTCAAACTTGCAGCCCCTGAAGCAATTTTATGTGGTGAACGAATATGTGTGTATTGCAAAGTTTTAAAGATTTTAGTTCTTTGAACTCCGAGTCTGATTATTTTACTTTCCATTAAAAATAAAACATGGATAACGCACCAATGGAACTCATTAATCTACTATATGATATAAATCTTACTCAAAGTTTTGAAGATACAGATTTCATTAACTTTTATTTGCACTCGTCAAAAAATAAATAAGCTCATTTATGAATTTTTGCACCAAGAATAATTGCTTTGTCTGTGAACACATGTGTATGTGAACAGCATTTTATCACAGTTGAAAATAAATAATAAAAAAAAAAAAAAGAGCCTAATTGACAGATGAATATCTAAAATCTGTAATGAAGATAATTTCTAGTAATTTTTCTTCAAGGCTACAAACTTTATCTTAATCAAATGGCATTAAGTGTCAAACTGTAGTAAGAAATAATGTAGCTTATAATTTACATACAAACGTATGTATTTTTATTTATATGCCAAAGAAAAATTAAGTGAATACAAGACAAGGTTGTCATTATTTATTCTCAAGTTTTGTCCTATTTGCAAAGTTTCCTCTGAAAACTTAAAACATTTTCATAATTTACTTATTTTTAGTTTAATTTATAGTTATTTAATGATTAAATAGCATATTAAATTATTTGAAATAAATGTCACTCTGAGAATATAATATTTAGCTGCAAATATGTTTGAATTACAAAGTGAAACCAAGAGCAATTTCTTGCAGATATCAATCTTTAGATTTCCAATAAAAAAATTAATATAAATTTGAAGTTTTCCTTTTGTGTTGTTATTATTATTGTTTACATATGCTTTGAAAATATTTAGCAAGCAAAAATTAAAATTTAGTTAGTTAAAATATTTTTTATTTTATTGATAAAAATTTTCGTTTTAATAAAAAAAAAATTGTGACCTGTCAGCTGTTTTTTGAGCATACAGCCCAAGTGCAATTTGAGACCACTGGTATATAAGTATACTGAATACAGGGAGGAAAAATTCTAAAATATTAATATTTAATTCAACTTACTCTTAAACTTTCTAATTCTTCTGGAGTAAAACTTGCATTCTTTGCCATTTCCCAAAGACTATTTACTTGTGGCTCCTCAAATTCCAAGTTTTTAAAATTAGGTATAATTTTACTTGTTAAATAATCATATCCTGCTTTTAACTGAGCATGTTTTTCTTTCAAAATCTGATGAGGATTATCAGCTTTCCATACTTTTTCTCCTTCTTCTGCATGAAGAATATGATCAATAGTATTGCCAACCTCATCTGAAAATAAATTGTGAAATTGAAAATTCTTCATGTGCTTTCAATCCTGCATTATGTGGTTTATTTATTTTTCTAAATCGGTAATTTTAAATTCAATCTATCTTAATCTTTCTCTCAGTGACAACATGACACCATCTTCAATCATGTGTTTTAAAAAAATAAGCAGTGAATACAACTCAACAGAAGGCACTAATGATGATGATTAAAAATGAATATCATATTTCCTCATATATTTTCTCCCTACCCACTTTCCCCCAGCACAAGGTTCTGATGTTTTTTTTAAGTATTCATGTAATTTCCCCCTTCCTCAGGTGTTCATAAAGAGAGCTTCCAAAATGTTAAAATGAGTCATCCATGTAGTGGTCGTTTACATCTTACTAGCTGATTTGCTCATGGATTATGGGTGCATGGGCTCTGACTGATGAAGCAATAATAGTTAAGAACTTCAAGAAAACGAGAACATTTAATACTGTTGATGGTTCTGAAGATCATCATCATGGGAAGACAGACTGAATGGTGACAAAAACAATGACAACAATGTCGATGCTGTAGCAGATGATACAAACTGCAGTTCCAGAAGCATTAAATGATTTGAAATCTAGAGAGTACTAGTAAATACCAACAACAGTAAATGAGATTCAAGATGAAAGGAAGCAGAAATGAAGCTATCTTATTAGATATTTTAATGTTAATAATACTATATATTCTCACTGCATGTACGTTTCTTTCAGATAAATATGATAGTTGCTTGTCGTTATCATGCCTACTTTTCATTTGTTGTGTTCTTACTGTAACCATGTCCTTCGAAATTAAATTATTTGAAAAATTCCCCCCTCTCGATTTTGTATGAAAATATCAGTGAAAAGGGGGGAATATGTAATTAAATACAGTATTATCATATACTGAAGAATATACATGGATTTTCCTCTACTCTGGCTATTTCTGTTTAAAGTAATTAAAGCAATTATAACACTTTTTGGATACTTTTAATAAAATATAAGCTATGAAATCAAAATTAAGGTCACTGGAGTATATGATATAATTTTGCTTTTCCTATTACATTATGTATTCAAAATGGTTCCATGATATTCATTAAATGCACATTTTTATAATTTAATTCACTATTAATACTTATTTAATTTATAAGGTATTTCTCCAATCTTCCTAGCATGCCTTCGTGGTGTAGTGGTTCTGCACACTGGGCCAGTATTCCAGATGTCCGTGGTTCAATTCCTGGTGAAGGCATTGCTAATTTTTCAATCTCTCTGGCCTCAAAAAATACCTAATGTCTCTACAGTGGCACCCAAACTAGAAGGGCGTTGGATGAGGTTTCTTCCACACCCAGGATTTGGCGATTGGGTCTCCTGTAAACCCCAGTCACCCTTTCAAAAGGGGGGGAGTATATAAGGTATTTTTCCCACCTTCCCAGCGTGCCTTCGTGGTATAGTGGTTCTGCATGCTGGGCAGGTATTCCAGAGGTCCGTGGTTTGATTCCCGGCGAAGGCGTTGCTAATTTTTCAATCTCTCCGGTCTCAAAAAATGCCTAATATCTCTACAAATTGATTAAGATATCACACTCAAGGGCTTCTACGTAAAAGATGGAATGTCTTCTACAGGCAATTTCTAATGGAAATTGGCCCATATTCACATTCCACACAGCGAAAATTATGAAAATGTCTAGCCAGTTGACCCATTTACTAGAGCATAATAATTAAAAAGACACTTATGCAATAATTTAATAAAGAAAATGAACTAAAAGCTATGCTAATATAAAAAACAGACACATTAAAAAGTTATTTTTAAGAGCCATATAAAAAACTGCTAAATGTTAAGACAGCAGAAACATCCGGAGAAAAATTTCAGTTCCTTTTCCTCAAAAATAAATACGCAGTGTCATATTATTGATGATTTACAAAAGTTTATCACTGAGGCTTTAAAAAATTATCTTGCACATAAAAACCATTAGCAAATAGAGTCATCCGAATGTTGAAGGATGGCCCGAGTGTTTAAGTTCACTAATTGATCCAGTCTTCCTAAATTTTTAAATTAATCTCTTCACAGTTGATGAAGTTAAATCACTATTCTGACCATATTTTTTGTATGTGAACTGTAACTCCCAAACATTAATTTTTTCTAAATATTGCTCAACAATGAAAACATACTAAAACATTCTTTCATGTAGCGCTTGATTTTTAATAACCCTGAACTGTCAGCTGTCGTGCTGTCTTTTTTTTTTTTTTTTTTTTTTTTTGCAACATTAATCGCACAAGTAGCACAAAATTCAAATTTTGGGACACCCTTTATAAATCTATATATATAATTAAAATGCACATAAAAATTCATCACAATACTAGTTATCTTGCATATACTTTTTTCAAAAGATAATTTCTTAGATCACTTAAACATTCTAAAGGAAATTAAAGATATATAAAACTTTTATTGGAATAGCTTTATTGTTTGTTGTTGTTGTCTTGTCCATATTACACGGAACAATAGTTGCCAGACCCTACTCCAAAGAGAGGTTGGGCTTCTATTTTCCACCCCCAATTCTGAGGCAGAGCACCCAGGTGTGAAGTTTTCTGAGGGGTCTGCCACCCCTCTCCACTTCCACCAATCCCACACGAGGGGACTTTTAGCTCACTGCATATTTAGAATGCCACCATGCTGCACCGACACTATTACATTTACAAACATCCATGTCTCCTCCGGGATTCGAATGCGAGTCCTTCGGTGTACCATAGCAGGTTCCTCTAACCACTATACTGTCTGGATGACAGCGTTTAACTTTTTATAAGAATTTGATCAAAATAAGAAATTATGATGATAGTTTTTAAATGATATGGAGAATCAATTGCATAATTACATCATTTGTGTATAAAACTTACTATTTGTTGGCTCTTTATGAAGCTGATTCAAGACTTGATAATATTGGTCAATTTTATTCTGGTGATGCTGAAACTCTTCTTTCAACATATTAAGTTGCTCTTCTGAAAGTGATAAAATATTATGCCATTATAACTTTAGCATTTAGTTTCTAGAAAGAAAGTAAATGCTAAACTTTATTGAAAAGGTACTATGACATGCACATATGTTAAAATTCAATCAAAATTTACATATTAACACAATCCTGGCAGTTTTTTACAGAAGAAAAGGTTAAAATTACTTATTGGGTGCAAGTTTGCAATTTTCACAATGTTTTAAAAAAATTCCCAAACATCCCCATCAATATTTATCGAAAGTAGGTAAACATTATCAACATTTCAAAATGAAAAACATTTTAAAACACGAATTTAAATTATTAAATAAGGATTACATTATACATTAAAAAATAAAATGCATTTTTTGTAAAATCCTTCTCTAATTTTTTAGTGCTGTTGTTCTTCTCTTGTACAGATCTGTTTTTCTTAAATAAACATCAGAGATTTGTACAAGCTTGGCAATGCGTGTAGAAAAAGAGATAGAGGGTGCTGCGCCACCCATATATTTAGCTAATTAAGAGTTTTTACCTGAGAAAGTTGAGAGGTTGATGAGAGTGGTATAAACTAAATATACTGTAATCTGTATATAATATTTGTACATAGTCTTCTCTTCATTAAATAGAGTTAGTTAATGGAAAGTGTCTTTGTTTGGGCCAATAGATCACAAGAACCACCAATAATATAAGATTAAGTAAGTTATTATATACAAGTTTTTGGTAGCATCAGGCCGGAAGGTGAGCCATTTCACTTTATCTGCATGCAATTTATCTTCGAAAATGAGTTTTGAAGAAACTATCGAGAGAAACAGAAAAATTAGAGGTTCGGTTCATACCTGTGTAACAAAATTAATAAGGAAATTGGAAGAGGAATTGCAAAGCGAGAATCCGAACCTAGAAGTGTTCCAGGAATTGCTTTCAGTGTTAATCGAGAGAGAAACTAGCTTGTTAAAATATGATGAAGTTATTAATGCTCAAAGCACTGTTCAGGAATTAGAGACAGAGGTAGAACATTGTTTAGAATACAGCGAATCCATCATTAGATGTAAATTGAAAATCAATAGATATATTCAAAATGTGGGTAAAACCGGAACAACTTCACAAGTTTCGGAAATCAAAACTAATCATAATACTAAATTACCTCGCATTACTTTAGAAACTTTCAGCGGCGATTTATGTAAATTTACCGAATTTTGGGCTCAGTATAAAGCTGCCATTCACGAAAACAACGCTTCAAGATGATGAGAAATTTAACTATTTAAGATCTTTACTCACCGGTTTAGCAGCAAAAGCTATAAGCAGATTGCCATTAATAGGAGAAAACTATAAAAAGGCCATCGAAATCTTAACGGACAGATTTGGGAAAAAAGGAATATTAGTTAGTGTGCATATGAACGTTCTCCTATCTTTGGAGCCAGTACGTCGTTCAAGTGATGTATCCAGTTTAAGAAAACTATATGGTGAAATACCAGTTCAAACAAGAAGTTTAGAGACATTAAATATCAATTTTAATTCTTATGCATCTATACTACCGCTAAGTTTTTAAACTATAAGTTTATACCGCAATCAACGGACAGTTTTTTATGTTCGAGCGAACAAAGAATAGAAGCTCCCTTTCCATTTTCTCTCGTTTAGTCCGAGATTATATGGTTAGATTTTCTCTGTCGACGCGCATCAATTAAACTCGGGTGTTTAATCAACAAACACATTCAATATCAAGCGAAAGAAATACTGACAACTATCGTAAGAGTGTTGCTCCAATTAAAAAGAAAATGGTATCAGCGGCGACGCTTAATACATCAGTCGAAAATTATATGTGCGACTTTTCTTAAATCTCACCTCACAAAACACTGCGACTTAAGTATTTCAGAGAAACACAAAGCGTTATACGATCAATTTAAGTGCAAGCGCTGTTTAAAAAAAGGTGACAAAAAACCATTTTGTAAGGTGAAGTGGGTTAAATGTAATATTTGCAAATCTATGTCGCATTTAGAGAGCAAATGTGCAAGAAAATAAATCCATAAAAAATGCTGCGAGCGCAACAAAAGAGACAAATGTTAGTTCACTATTTCTCGAAACTCTGAGTAAGCAAATTCCTAATGACATGAATTATTATCAAACATTGAGAGGCCAACTACTCGAAAATAATTCCACATTTAATGTTAGGTTGTTATATGATTCTGCTTCCGAAAGATCTTATCTTTGTCAGTCTATTTCCAGCAAAGCAAGTTTACCAACTATTGGTAAAGAAAAATTAAGAATGCATACATTTGGATCTTCGAATCTGCCAGCATGAGAGTTTAAAAGGAAAAGACTTTCTTTAAAAAATAAGACCAGGTTCACTCTAATCATCAAAGCACTCGAAGTAAAAACCATATGTTCCAATACATTACCCAGATCATCTGCAAAAATTATAAACCAGCTTCGCCAAGAAGGATTCAACTTATAGGCAGCTGTGATAGTGAAGTGGCAGAGGTACAGATTTTAATTGGGAATGATTATTTGAACTGCATTTTAATGGGGAAAACACATTGTTTAAGAGACTATTTAGTATTGCATGAAAGCATATTCGGTTGGACGTTGAGTGGTAGAGTGGGAGGACAGAGTAAGAAGCTAAGTTCAGGGTCAGACTCCACCGACTTGTTTATACACATCAATTCGGAAGAGGAATTAAAAATATCAGAACAGATTAGCCAGCTTTGGGAAATTGCAAGTCTAAGAATTGCTGAGTGCCCGTCAGAAAGGAGCGCTGTCGATAAGCGAATAATTAAACAATTTGAAGAAGATCTGAAATATGTAGACGGGAGGTATGAGGCTCGCTTGTTAATTGGGAGTCCAAAGCATTTGGAAAATAATTTTCGTTTAGTGAAAAGGCAGTTCAAAGAGGTGCGGTGAGAGTTAAAAAGTAACAGCTTTGTGAGGGAACAGTTTATGGAAAAAATTAAATTTCAGACACAAAAAAACATTATTCAAGAGTTTGAGGATACGAGAGAGGGATACTTTATACTATTCCGAGCAGTAGTCTGTAAAGATAAAAAAAGCACTTAAGTTCGAATGGTATTTAATTTCAGCAGTCGCAAAAGAGGAAAGCTATCCTTAAACTGCTTAAAAAAAGGCCCAAACCTAAATCCGAATATTTTGGATATCATTCTTGTTTTTTGAAAATTTTAAATTGGATTCTGCGGTGACATAGAAAAGGCGTTTTTGATGATTGGGATAGCAAGGGAAGATAGGCAATATTTAAAATTTCTGTGGCATCCTGATAATGATAGTGAGGACTTTAAAATTATGCAAATGAACAGAGTATTATTTGGATGTAATTGTTCACCGTTTTTATTGAGTGCAACGATCAAATATCATTTAAAGCTAAATAGCTCACTGTAAGCAGACGATTTGTGTTATGGAAGGCAAAGTGTAGAATCAGCTTTCAATCTTTCATCAGAGGCGGTATTTATTCTGAGAGACGCAGGTTTCAATTTCAGAAAGCTAAACACTAATTCTAAAGAGCTGTATGACTTGTGGCTTCAGAAAGGGTTGTATGAAGAAAGTAGGTTTGTGAGAGATAGTAAGTTGAAAGTGTTAGGCTTGGTGTGGAACTTAGAAGAGAATGGTTTGAGAGTAGACGTTATATCATTCTTGAGTAGTTTAGAATCATTGAGAAATAGTAAAAGATCAATGTTAAGCACAGCAGTTAAGGTGTTTGACCCAGTCGGATTTATTTCTCCATTTGTGGTGCGAGTTAAGAGACTGATGCAGGAAATATGGGAGAGAGGTTTGGAGTGGGATTCAGAGTTGCCAAAGGAGTTACGGTGCTAATGGATAGAGTGGTGCGCTGAAATTGAGGAATTAAATGCATTGAAAATAGAGAGGTACTGCTTTCCAGAAGTTCTAAGTAAAGGTCATTCGGTTAAAATTCATACACCCACTTCCAAAAGTTAGGCAAAGAGAGGAAAATGCTAATTTCTGGAAGCCAATCAGAATTGAACAGGATGCAATTCGCTGCAGAGGTAGATGGAAGTTTGCAAATATGTTAGGTAACAGCCAATCATGTGTTCAAGAAATATGCAAAAAAGGCAGTCTTATAAGAAGCCAGCTTTATGAAGGGTTACAGAAGTTGATTGTAAGTGCTGATAGAAAGTGTTTAAAACTTTTGTACAATTTGTTTTCAAGACATACGTGTTTCTATGACTTCCAGAAGACGAATGGAGGATTCTGAGTGCTGGCGTGCTGTAGAGCCATTGAAGCAGGACAGTCGATCACAGATGTTGCTCTTTTCTTCGGCGTTCATCATTCTGTAATTTCACGTTTATGGAAACAATTCCAAACCACACAGACAGTTGTATGAAGCTGGTCACCCAAGGGTTACAACCCCCGCGGAAGATCGATATATTGCTATTGTAGCCAAGCGGAATCGCAGAGCGATCTCCACATGTGTGACATTTATGGTTACAGTGTGCATTGGTAAGGCGATATCTGCAGCTACTGTACGCCGAAGATTACATACGAGTGGACTATATGCCCGGTTACCTTGAGTTTGTGTTCCTCTATCCGTCCAATCAAGAGGGGCACGATTACAGTTGTGCCGGGAGTATATCAATTGGACTGTGTCTGACTGGGGCAATGTCATGTTTACTGATGAGTCGAGATTTGCTCTGGAGCCATATGACAAGTGTATAAGGATATGAACACGCAATCAGTCCCAAAACTTCACCGACCATCATGCATTCCGAGGCAGAAGCATGGTGTGAGCAGGGATTTCATCAGGATACCGCACTGACCTGCACATCTTTAAACGGGGTTCTTTGACGGCTGTCCGGTATCGAGATGAAGTCCTAGAACCCATTGTGAGATTGTACATATGCTGCAGCAGTTGGCCCTACTTTTGTTTTAATGGACGATAACGCACATCATCATAAAGCTGACATCATCGATGACTACCTGAAGAGCGAAGGGATTGCGCGTATGGCGTGGCCAGCATATTCGCCCGACCTTAATCCCATTGAAAATCTTTGGGATGTTCTCGGCCATGCTGTATCTTCACATTTTCCCACCTCCAGCCACTCTTATTGAGCTGGAAAACTGCTATACAAGAAGAATGGCGATTGCTTAATTCTGAGGTGGTTGACTACCTAATTGAAAGCATGGTCACAAGGTGTAAACTTTGTATAAAGATGAGGGGGATCACATACCCTACTAATGTCCTTTTTTTTTTCATTTATGCTGTTTATTTTCACTTTATACATAATTCTGTTTAAGTCTCCAGTATGTCATTATCTGATAACTTACAAAAATTAAATATTGTTTTCATTTCTGCATATAATTATTGATTTTGTTTTATGCATAAATATATATGCTACTTTCCTGCCAAATTTTGTGTCAATCAAAGCAGTATTTGTTGATTTTTCTGCATTTTACATCTCCATGCTTAACTTTTGGAAGAGAGTGTATTTTCATGATGCGTCAATAGTGGCACATGGAGCGGTGGTATATTTTAGATATAAGAATGAGAGAGGAGAGGTATGTACGTCGTTTATAATGTCGAAGAGTAGGATAGCTCCGTTAAAAAAGTTGTCCCTCCCTAGGTTGGAATTGATGGGGGCTGTAACTGCAGCTAGGTTAGGAAAATATTTATTGAAAATATTTCAGGATTTGGTAGGTAGGTTAGTTCTGTGGACGGACTCCGAAATTTGCTTGTGGTGGATAAAGGGGTCAGCGCGTGAGTGGAAGCAGTTCGTGTCGAATAGAGTTTCAGAAATACAAGACTGTACTTCGACTGATAAGTGGAATTATTGTCTAGGGTCGGAAAACCCAGCAGATAAATTAACTCATGGTGAAACAGCAAATGCTTTGGTGAATGATAATAACTGGTGGCATGGTCCATCATGGTTGAAAGATTCTGAAAATCAATGGCCTGAGCAGAAGTTTAAAGTAGAAACTGATACTCAAAATTTGCAACATTTAACCACTTATGTTAAGGTGACTGTTCCAGAAGGAGAAACTGCGTTAAACATTAGCAAATTCAGCAGTCTGGAAAAATTGTTGAGAGTTACAGCTTGGGTAAAGCGGTTTGTCACCAAGCTAATAAAAACGTACCTGTGAATCCTCTTACTGTATTAGAGATCCAAGAAGCTGAGGAGTACTGGAAAAAGCAAGTCCAGAGAGAGAATTATTTTTCAGATATTCAACAACTAGAAAGGAATAATCTAATAACACCAGATTCGAAGCTTTACAGTTTAGCACCATATCCGGATAGTAGAGGTATTTTGCATGTCAGAGGTCGTTTGGAAAAAGCAGAATTTATAGGTGACAAAAAGAATCCCATTATTCTGCCGAAAACCATTCACCGAACCAGTTAAATTTAGTGAACACATAAAAGTATTTCATTCAGGAGTCATGGCAACATTGTCCAAAGTCAGGAATAAATTTTGGATACCTAAAGGAAGACAAGTAGTAAAGAAAGTTATTAACGCTTGCCTGGTGTGTAAAAAGTTCGCAGTGAAACCCACCAAACAGTTAATGGGTCAGTGACTCAGAGATCATGTAGTCCAAAGTAATCCTTTCACAGTTGTAGGCATCGACTTAGCGGGAGCGTTTACTATTAGAGAAAAAGCAGATATCCACAAAAAGATGTACATAGCCTTATTTACATGCGCCGTCGCACGTGCTGTACACATTGAAGTGGTTTCAGATATGTCAGCAAAAAGTTTCATTTATTCAGTACGACATTTTTTAGCAAGAAGAGGGAGCTGCAAAGTGATTTATTCAGATAATGCCAAGAATTTCCACAGCACATATAAAAAAAATTCTTAAAGGATTTAAAAGAATCAGAGCAGAGTCAAGTGTAAGAGATTTCTTGACATCCAAAGAGATAACATGGAAATTTATATGTTCATTCTGAGCGTTCCCCATGGTGGGGAGGGTTCTGAGAGCATCTGATGAGAAGCATCAAGGAACCTCTGAAGCAAATTTTAGGGAGAGCATTAGTGACTTTCGAAGAGCTCTCTTCAATATTAACTGAACTCTAATGTGTGCTAAATAATAGACCTTTAACATATGAGAGCAACGAGCTGGGTGAACCTCGCCTGCTCACACCTTCACAGTTTTTATTGCCAGGACGTGATACATTTAACTTTCCCGAGCATTTTTGGAAATTTTTAACAAGGTGTCCAACAAAGAGACTTTAACTAGGAGGAAGCTTTACCAATCTAGTCTCTTAAAATTAACATGGATCAAGTGGAAAGAGCAATATTTACTCCATCTTAGAAATACGCATAACTTTGCTAATCCTAAAACTGAGCAGAACCTTAAGACTGGAGATGTTATGTTGGTAGAAGAACCAAAACAATCCAAGCTACTTTGGGACATGGGTGTAATTGAAAATGTGATTATAAAAAGAGATGGACATGTTCGAGTGTGCCTCATTCGCACGCCCAAAGAACAATTCAGAAGATTGATCCAAATCCTTTCGAAATTTGATTTAGAACTTTTGATATTGAGTTTTTATTATTATATTATTAATTATTATGTTTATTTGTGGCTTTGATATATACTAGTATAGATTATTCTTTCATATTATTCATTTATATATGTTGTACTATTTAGTATTAACCCATTATTAATTAATGCTAATATTGTTATGTAAGTTGGTTGGTGTACTCTTATTAAAGAGTGCAGGTGGGGAGCGATGTAGAAAAAGAGATAGAGGGCGCTGCCCATATGTTTAGCTAATTAAGAGTTTTCACCAGAGAAAGTTGAGAGGTTGATGAGAGTGGTCGAGAGCGGTATACTGTAATCTGTATATAATATTTGTACATAGTCTTCTCTTCATTAAATAGAGTTAGTTAACGGAAAGTGTTTTTGTTTGGGCCAATAGAACACAAGAACCACCATTAATAGAAGATTAAGTAAGTTATTACAATGCGCAAGGGCTATCTACCAAACTTCATTGTTCCTTTTAGACTTTGCATTATTACTATAATCTAGCAGAACTTTTACCGCAGTTTCTTCCACAAGTGATATTTTAAAATTGATTTGAAGACAAAAAATATAATGATTTGTCTATAAAAACAACTGGAACCTGAAATACAACAAAATGAATGCATACAAAAATGGGGACGTTGCTTTACTGAAGGATTGTTACGAACAAGGTAGGCTAAAAAACGTTTATGCGCATGGTCATCAGAGTTTGGCACATTCAGAAAATTTGGCACATTCTACTAGGATGGTTGCAAAAATACGTAAGTATTATACCATTCAATCTTCATTAAAAATAAACTAAATATAAATAGCTAAATATTGGAATAATATGGAAATTCAGAAAAAATTTATCATCAGATTTTAGGAAAATATACATCTTATTCAGAATCTACCTGAAAATCCTTGTTGTTCTGCTTTCAACCATAACTTATTTAATTTCTTGTCTTTGAAGACTGTTTTCATATATGCATCATCAGATATGTCCGGTGCATTAGCCTTAACTGAATCTTTTAGGTCTCTGAAATCATCCACTAAATGATATTTTTCAAGGATTGCTGCAAAATATTGTAAAGATTATACTTGGTCAAAGTAATAAATAATAAAATTATATATTAGTATAGTGCAATCCCCTCTCGTAGAAGATCACCTTATAAAAATTACCAGTATTTCTGAGAATATAAACAAACACCAGTATTGATAATGACAATAGTATTCTTCAAAATGAAGCTCAACAATGTAACTCTGACCATCAAATACAGGGTAGTCATAAAAAAACTTCCTAGCGGCTTAGCCACTCAATAAATCGAACAAAACTTTTAGTGGAATTGCAAGTTTGCAACATGCCCACCTTTATGTAATACATAGCATGCGGGAGACTATTGACAACAATGATGCATGTAACATCGTAGGAGGAATCTATGTAACTTCACATTTTATGGCACACATATCATAAAAATTACCAGCATAAAACATTTACAAAGAAGAACATTGTAAAGGATCAATGATAACAGAAGAGAAGAAGGGGGAACGTTTACTGGAATTACAGGTTTTCAACATGCCCACCTTTGTAGATGATAACACACAGTATGTGGGAGATCGTTGACAACAATGACAAATGTAACATTGTAAGAGGAATCTATATAACCTCATATTTTATGGCACCTTTCAATTCTGACAAATCCTATGCATTTGATGTGTAAATCTTAGATTTCAGATAATCCCAGAACCAGAAATCCACTGGAGTGAAGTTGAGAGATTGTGGTGGCCCCAAAATTGCAAGATATGACTCTACACTGGTGTGCAAAAATTAAGGACGAAGTCGAAAAATTAGCATATTAGATGAACGAAGAGGCAGAGTGGACAGAAAGACCAAACATGAAATTAAGTAAGGTGACGTACGGTAGCACATGCGCAGATATGCAGGTAGAGGTAACGGGGAAGTGTCTGAGTAGTATAAAGCATGTTGTCGGTGTAAGATCAGTATTTCTGGCAAAGGGATTGCACGCCGTATAGCAGTTAAAATCACACCGAGTTGCTGCCTCAGCGAGAAATGGCGATTAATCAATCTGTTAGACGACATCTGGTTGCTTTTACCCGGTGTCGAATCATTGGGAAGTTGGAGGAAGGCCACAGTAGTGTGGCTGCAGAGTTCGGAATTGCTCACGGCATCGTTTCACGACTTTGGAGACAATTTCAAACTACAGGAACAGCTATCTGGGGGTTTAGTAGTGGTCGTCCACGAGGAACCACACCCACAGATGACCGGTATATTGCCTTACAGGCCAGAAGAAACAGACGGCAAACAGCGGGAGAAATCGCTAGACACACACGACACAGGCGACTGGACGACCGATATCGTGTTTTACCGTGGCCAGAAGACTGCACAGTGGTGGTCTGTTTGCACGACGCCCTGTACGGTGTGTACCTCTAACGCCTGCCCATCGGAGAAGGCGTTCTCTGTGGTGCTGGGAACACCGGAATTGGAGAGACAATGAATGGGGACAAGTACTCTTTACAGATGAGAGCAGATTCAGTCTGAGTAGCGATTCTCATCGCATACTCACCTGGAGAGAGCGGAGAAGCCACAATCATCCCTCGAACATCATTGAAAGGAACAGGTATGGAGATAGCAGTGTTGTCGTTTGGGGAGGCATCATGCTTGGTAGTCGTACAGACCTTCACATCTTCGACGCAGGTTCAGTCAACGGGACCTGTTATTGTAACGAGATTCTTCTTCCATATGTGCGTCTTTTTAGAGGCGCTATGGGTCCGCAGTTCCTTTTCATGGATGACAATGCACCATGTCATCGCACAGTAGCTGCCGAACAGCTCTTACAGAGTGAAGATATTGAACATATGGAACGTCCGGCACACTCCGGATCTCAATCCCATCGAGCATGCATGGGATTTCTAGGCAGACGCTTGGCAGCTTGTACCTTACCACCAATAACGATTCTGGAGCTTCGATTGGCGCTGCAAGACGAATGGGCAGCAATGCCTCAACAACTCATTGATATCCTCATTCTCAGTATGGGCAGACGCTGTGAAACCTGCCTAGCAGTCAGGGGAGATCATATCCCCTATTAAAGACTGGATGTTTCTTGCTGGACACCCATCACAGGGATGTTTCGGCCTTCAGTCGCATTGCACTCCATGCTACTTTTTTTAATAAAGCTTCTTTTTATCCCTCTGATTTTCTCTTTTAGTAAGTGTTGCTTACATTACTCATGTCCTTACGTATTGGGGATCTTACGGTATTAAATGTGTTGATTTGGAAAGCTTTTGTACAAAGTTATATTGAAAAAACCGTCTCATCCTTAATTTTTGAACACCAGTGTATCTTGAAATGCTGTACATGATGAAAATTTATAATTCCAATATAAGCCTTTCCCCTCTCCTCTCTTAAGATGTTATTGATCCTTCACAATGCTCTTCCAATCAAATGTTCTATGCCGGTAATTTTCATCAGATATGTATAATTTCAGGGCCATTTAAGGTTTTTCAATGTGCTGATCAATTTGTAAAGGAAAACACTGTTGTCACCTTTTAAAAATTTTGAAATTTTTTCACTTTTATCCTAACCGTGGGAGCTGTATTGTTTTAACTCATCACAATCTCAAACGCATACTTTCAAATAACAATATATGAAATTTTCTTTCAACTGGTTGACTGACTAGGCCACTACAGGCTCATATATTGAGGAAGTTTTTTTTTTTTTTTTATGAACACCCTGTATATAGTTTGGTCACCATCAAAATGTTTGATTTTGCCTTCAATGTACCATGTGTACCGCATAAACAAAGTAATTATATTTCCAGTCCTTATGTGCAATGGCAAAATTACTCTTATGGAATAAAACAGTTGACTGTTCATTCAACGCGGTTTTGTTTGTTGATTATTCAGTTGATTGAATACAGGAAAGCACGCCTGCTATCTATTCAGTATCCTGTGATTTATCGTGCAAGTTTGCTTCAGATTATGAAACAGTTTTTCTTAAATTATTTCTCATGTTTCCATATTATTTACATTATTAATTTTTTGTTGAGCAACTAATATTGTATAATAAATCAATGGTGTCAAAAGCAGTTCATTTTTGTTTTTGACATCACTACAATTAATCACACTGATTTCAGAGTTTACAGTCCAGTCTATTCAAGCAGTTTAGTAATTAAGATTAAATCTTTAGTATTTAACTTTAGATTAAAATATTTCGAAATCAAAAGAACAAAAATTATAAGTTTAGAAAGATAGGATTTGTCAGAATTGAAAGATGCCATAAAATATGAGGTTATATAGATTCCTCCTACAACGTTACATTTGTCATTGCTGTCAACGATCTCCTAGGTACTATGTGTTATCATCTACAATGGTGAGCATGTTGAAAACCTCTAATTTCAATAAACATTCCCCCTTCTTCTCTTCTGTTATCATTGATCCTTTACATTATTCTTCTTTGTAAATGTTTTATGCTGGCAATTAAAATAACTGAAGATAATCTTTCTCAACAAAGAGTGGCAAATTTAAGTGAATGAATATTTTAGTAAGACAATGTTTGTAAAATTACTTAACAAAATTTTTACTTAACTAATAAAGATTTTACTTATCTAATAGTACAGTCAAAAGTCTTCAATCCGGACGTTCATAATACGGAATGATCTATAATCCGGCCCTCGAAGCTACAAACTTTCTGCGCATGCGTCAACGCATACGCATAATACCTTTACACTTGCGCGTATGCATCTACGCATGCGCATAATAAGTTTACACACGCACGTTTAATGTATAACGGACGGTATAAGCTAAGCTAAAATTATCTAATTATCTATTTCAGTTAATGTTGCAGATTGCATTGTTCCTTAATCTTCTAATTGGATCTGGCTTATTATTTTTTGCAGACTTTTAGAGATTTTATGAAAGTAAGCTTGAACTTTTGATTATGTCAAAAAGAATTTCCGATTCTGGAGCTACCAAAGGATCTACAAAGCAAAAGCATGTTTCAATGTCCATCAAACAAAAAGTGGAATTGCTGCAAAAAATGGATAAAGGCATATCCTTTTATTCTCTAACCATTCCGAAATCTGTTTATCAATTTCACACTGCTCTGTGGGGGGAGGGACGACGCGGCACGCAATGAACTGGAAGTTGATCTGTCAGCACTATCCTTATCTTCAGGGCAGATGTTTTTATTTTATTCGGCTTATAATTCCTTACTAAATGTAGTATTTTATCTCAATGTACTCCGTCTTTGATATGATTTAAATAAAATTCCTCGCCATTATAAATATCACGAATACACATCAAATAGTTTTCTGGTTGCAATTTTCCAATTTTGACTATGCGTAATGTATGCTTTAGGCATGTGCCCATTGAAAGAAATGTTTAATAAAGTAAACAAACAAATAAATATTAAGCTTTTTTTTTTTTTTTTTTTTTTTTTTTTGTGTGTGTGTGTGTGTGTAAATTCTGATACCCTTTAGATCACAATTGCTCTTTATTTCATAAATTACGGTTTCACATTTTTAATTTTATAGTTTCTGCATGCCATCTTACCAGATTTAAACTGATGATCTATAATCTGGAAAAATCGATAATCCGGAATCGACAAAGTGTTCGACGAGTCTGGATTAAAGACTTTTGACTATAATATAAAAATATTAATAAACTTATATACAGTACAAAGTCTGTAATCCAGACGTCCATAATTCAGACTGGCATATGAGTTTACACATGCGTGTAATACATTTATGCATGCGTGTTTAATGCATAACGGATGGTATAAGCTAGGCTAAAATTATCTAAGGCATTTCAGTTAATGTTGCAGATTGCGCTGTTCCTTAAACTTCTAATTGGATCCAGCTTATTATTTTTTGCAGACTGTTAGAACAACTTTATAAAAATTAAGCTTGAACTTTCGATTACGTCAAAAAACAGTTTCCAATTCTGGAGCTGGCAAAGGATCTACAAAGCGAAAGCATGTTTAGATGCCCATTAAACAAAAAGTGAAATCTCTGCAAAAAATGGATAAAGGCCTATCCGTCTCAAAATTATGCAAGAAGTATGGCATTGGAAAGTCCACTATATATGACACAAGAAAAAGGAACTTTTTGAATTTTTTGTGGAAGCATCTTAAATAACTTACATTGAAAGAAATGTTTAATAAAGTAATTAAATAAATATTAAGCTTTTTTTTTTGTAATTCTGATACCCTTTAGATCATAATTGTTCTTTATTTCATAAATTACGATTTCATATTTTTAATTGTATAATTTCTGCGTGCCATCTTACCAGATTTAAATTAATGATCTATAATCTGGAAAAACCCCTAATCCGGAAATGCTGAAGTCCTGACGAGTCCGGATTACAGACATTGTACTGTATACCTTAATATAAAAATATTAATAAACTGATATACCACACTTTTTTCCCTTAGAACAGGAGTCAGCAACCTACAGCTCTTTTGATGTAAAGTTGCGGCTCTAAAGATCCACACAAAAAAATTAATAATCTATTATAAAAACCCTACAAAACGAGAACATATACTTTTAAGTACATGTTGTTTTTACTTGAACTATTGTTTTGTTCTTAGAGATGAGACTCTGAGCATTTTTATCTTTCCTTTTTTCAACTCTGCCTCAGCTTAGCATTTGCTAAATCATCTCGGAGGTGAAAAAAGAGACTGTTGAAAAGTATGAAGACAGCATTAACAACAAAGTTTTTTATAGGAACACATTAATTATTTTCCCTTTATTTGTTATTTGAAAACTTCACTTGGTATATGCCCAGTTTAGTACAAGTCAAAGGATCTGAATCGAATGAATGATATATACTGAGGTACCACTGTATTTTGTTTTGCTAACACTTGAAAAAACTTACCAATTTTTAAGGGAATTATGGTGCTAGTAGCTTGACTTGCTTCCTCGTATTGTTATAGCCTGAACATATGCTTCTCTTTCATCATTTGTATTTCTGCAGCTGAAGAAGAGGTTCTATGTTTAAACTTTCAAAACTAGTGCTGCAAATTTATGAATATTTCGCTGAATCTTATTGCCTTAACACCTCCAGTAAATTAATACCAGCTGTGATCAGTGCTCAGCTCTCAGTATTAAAAACATCACTTCCAATAGTTTACTTTATTCTATCCTATTCTGCTCAACAATGAGCTTGCCACTTTTTAAAATTATTATTATTGCTGTTTTTATTTTATTTATTAAGTAATTAAGTTTAACAAAATGGAAAAATAAACTTTGTCTTTAGAAGAAGAAAGACCTTTCTTAGATTCATCAAAAAGCATAATTAAACCTATTTTAAAGCTGGCCAGTTTATTTCATTATTTATAGCAAATTTTTTAAAGCTGGCCAGTTTATTTCATTATTTATAGCAAATATTTTTAAAGCTGGCCAGTTTATTTCATTATTTATAGCAAATATTTTTAAAGCTGGCCAGTTTATTTCATTATTTATAGCAAATATAAAAATCCTATCTATCACTGAGAAAGATGTCTTTCATGAATTTTCTAAATAGAAAGAACTTGCATTTAGGTTACACATGAAGATAATCACAAATGTCTAATAAAAAACACATTTCATTAAGAAGATATAGTCAGTATTTAGGAGTTTTCTTTAATTGGATATTTAAAATGAAATCTGACAGATGAACTCTTGATTATATGTCTAAAAACTAGAAGTTGAGTATGTGTTCAAAAAATATAACAAAATCATATTCAGAATGTCCAGAACACCAGAAACAAGAGAAAAATCAAATGAATGTGTAAAAACCGGCTACCCAAGTCATAATAAAGATTAAAATTAAATTTTCCCCCCCAAACCTTTAAAACTTCCTTGTATTACAGCTTCTTTAAGACCGTTTTTGTCATGACCTTCAGCCTTCTGTTTCTTCCATGCCAATTCTTCTTTATCTTGAAACTTCAGATCAGTGTACAGCAGCTTCAGTTTTTCAGGAGACATTTTCTAAAGATGAGAGTACTGAGATTAAGAAGCCATATAATATTGTTAAACTGAATTAAATGGTGTAACAAAAAATGACAGCAAGGAGATTTAAATCAATAATTTTATATTAATTTTAAAGTATATTATACAGTTAAATATACATTACTGGCATAAAAATAAAAAAATTCTACTCCTTTCCTTTCATATTTGCAAGATATGAAACAATAAAACCCTTATACTAAAAAAAAAAAATAAAATAACATAATAAATTAAAAATTTACATCATGAACTTGATCTCTATAAAATAATAAATTTTCATTTTTATTAAAATTAAGGTTCCAGAGTAACTTAATTCAAAGGAATAGATGTTATTCTTCTTGCCTAATATTAATTACTATATCTAAGGAATCAGCGAAAGAAAAAATATACGTGCACAATATTTTGCAAGAAGTGCACAAAAAAATAAAAGATCATGTTTGAAAAAAAAACTACGAAGCATTTTGTATGATAAAATCTTACATACCTGTACAGCAAAATATTAATATTTATCTCATTTTTCTGATGTAGCAGCTCAAGTGTATACAAAAACATTCCATAGCAAGATTTAAGATAAACACATAATTGTGTTAAAAAATTTATCAAAAATAAGAAACAAAACAGCAATTTTTCCCCAAAAAAAGTAGGGTGCTGTTATAGTTAATACATATCCATACTGAAAATATTATACTTCATATTAACTGGAATGGGTTACATGCATGTCAGGAATGGTATGGCCATTTTTCATAAGCACCACTGTAGATACTAAAAAGTTTTTCCTAGCCAAAAAACATAAAAAATTAAAAGTGCTCTTTCAATTATGGACTTTCCAATCTACCTGGACACATCAAACAGTACACTTCAAAAACATACATAGTGGAAAGCAATAATTCCTAACATTCACTCAGAAAGAGCAGCAGGGAAAGGCACAACACCCAATAAACAAAATTTACATGGTGACAAATTACATATCACTACATTTTAATTTAGGTGCCACTGTAACTTTAGGATACTTTTGAAGTCAAGAAATAAGAGTAATTCCTAACAATTTACCAAATAATGGTAAATAATAATACAGTACAAAGTCCATAATCCAGACTCATCAGGACTTCAGGCGACTCCGGATTACAGATCATCAATTTAAATCTGGTAAGATGGCATGCAGAAATTATACAATTAAAAATATGAAATCGTAATTTATGAAATAAAGAACAATTATGATCTAAAGGGTATCAAAATTTACAAAAAGAAGCTTAATATTTATTTAATTACTTTATTAAACATTTCTTTCAATGTAAGTTGTTTAAGATGCTTCCACAAAAAATTCAAAAAGTTCCTTTTTCTTGTGTCATATATAGTGGACTTTCCAATGCCATACTTCTTGCATAATTTTGAGACGGATAGGCCTTTATCCATTTTTTGCAGAGATTACATTAGGTACATCTTATGTCTTGAAAAAGATGTCTTATTATAAACTCCTTTACTTCAGCAATGCATTTTAATTATTAAGAATTTGCATATTTTCACCAAATTCCTACCCTGAATATTATCAATAATATAATTGCCAATAATATTAAATTACAATATTGTTATATATATTGTTCATGTTTTTTCAGAATGTATTGTAACATAATTCTAAATACAAATACAAAAACAATTTAATACTGTTACGAAATGTCCAAGTGCAGTGGGATAGCTTCCCCCGCAAAGCAGGTTTAGGGTTGCCACATTTGGTAAGAAATCGCCCATTTGGCGACAAAACTGGTGATATACCATGGATAGATAGAGAAACTTCTGGAACGAGTTCTTACCGGTTTAGCCCAGAATGTTCTCGAAAACAAGCCAGATGCTATATAAACCCTGCTGGTATGCTGAGATTTAGTCCGTGCGGAGTTAGTGAGAATTCATCGAGTTGATAGTCAGTCAGCGATTGCCGAGTTGGTCATCGAATGCACTGAAAGAGTCTCTTAATATATCGCGGTTAGTGCATCGTCAAGAGAGTGTGTTGAGCTCTGAGAACAACTGAACCGAGGAGTCAGGAGCTGTACTCCAGTGTATCGTCAAGTGATTCATGAGTTGTAGCACGACTGAGCAGAGTCAGGAGCTGTACCCTGGTGCTTTGCCGTGAAGCTGTCTTCATCGTAGTAGCCTAATAGCCCTAAGGCTGTGTTGCTGATCGTTTCAGCGTGTTTACAGTAGATATTTGATGACTGTAAAACGTGATTTTGGTGCTGTCCAGAGAATACTGGCCAATAAAGTGTGTTTTGATACTTCATCAAGTGTTGTTCTCATTATTCACTCAAATTCCACACGAACCCATACTTATGAATGTGAAAAGAAGAAAAAAATGTAACAACTGGTGTAAAGGCCTGGGGTTTGCGAGTGAATGCAAATGACTCGCTTGCAGAAGAAAGCCATGGTAGAGGAAACAAAGACTTTGATGGACTTCTTAGCAGAGATGAGGGCTGAGATGAAAGCTGGACGAGAAGAAACAAATGTCGGCCAAGAAAAGGTGCGAAAGCAACTCCCACAGATGAAAGTGGAGCTTGCAGAAGAAACTGGAGCCATAAAAGAAGATGCGGAAATGAGAAAAGTGGCATCTGAAGAATCGAAGGACAGAGAAATAAATGAAGTAGCTGATGAACTGTCTGAAGAAGATCAAGAAATAAAGGATGAAACATCTAACAGGATTAAAGAAAGAGAACAAAAGCATGAAGAAATAAAAGACGGTAAAGAAGCTTTTGATCCTGAAGCAGAAGTGGAAGTGGAAGAAAGTGAAAATGTGACTGTCAAGTTCGTCGAAACTGTTAGTGAAATTACGAAACTGGAGCCATAAAAGAAGATGTGGAAATGAGAAAAGTGGCATCTGAAGAATCGAAAAATGGAGAAATAAATGAAGTAGCTGATGAACTGTCTGAAGAAGATCAAGAAATAAAGGATGAAACATCTAACAGGATTAAAGAAAGAGAACAAAAACATGAAGAAATAAAAGACGGTAAAAAAGCTTTTGATCCTGAAGTGGAAGTGGAAGAAAGTGAAAATGCGACTGTCAAGTTCGTCGAAACTGTTAGTGAAATTACGAAGTCGTAGTTAGCAAGTATTGAACCATCTGAAAGTTCATGTGATGTGGAGATGGGAGAAGCTGATGTACAGCTTAAGCAGTGTGCTCCAGTATTGCAAGAAAATTCGGGTACAGTGCAGAATCACCCACTTATTTGTTTGGCACTTTTTACAAGAGTAAGAAGAATTGAATTTTTGTCAACTTTCTTTGACTTTTTAAGTGAAAATAGGTCGATGTGTACATGGATAAAGTTAAGGGAGTGCGCAATGCCATTTTTGTGCGATTCTGGGATATTTTTTCAAGTGAAAATAGGTTGATGTGTACACGGATACCAAGTATGTGCAATTCTTAAAAACACGCCAAACAGTGGGTGATTCTGCACCATCCCCGAAAATTCACCTACTTCGCAAACTATGTGTGCGTCTCATAGTTCAGATTGTGCAGACAAGAACTTGATTCTAAACCAGGATATTTGTGTTTTGTAAAGAACCGGGTTCCGTTCATGACTCCGATGCAGAATTTGAAGCTTGTTCCCAGAAAACGGAGGAAAATAAGCATGTATCAATTGCTAAAAGTACCGAGGTGAACTGGCATGCTGCAAATAAACTACAGCGTGGTGAACAAACTGTGTCAGATCTTCCTGTGGATGAAAAGCCTGAAAGTACTGAATCTTCAGATTGTGAAATGCAAAACAAAAACACATCCCAGAGCTGCAGTGCAAAAGTATTTGACTCGGGTATAAATTAATGAAAAAACTGAGACTGAAATTCATTCTGAACTTTAATTTTGTAGAAATTTAAAATTGTTATGTGTTTAATTTGTGTATATAACTTGTACATAGTGTAAATATTTGTTCCTTTAGTTATGTTATTTGTTTGTTTTATAATGTTTTATTTGCATTGAATTTGGCTTCTGACCAAGGATTGTACTGCCCGGAACATGCAGTCCTTGGGAGGGGGCAGTGTTACGAAATATCCAGGCGCGGTGAGATAGCTTCACCGCAAAGCATGTTTAGGGTTGCCAGAAAATGGCAAGGGTAGGCAGGCTTGCACATTTAGCAAAAAATCGCCCATTTTATGACAAAATTGGTGATATGCCATGGACGGATGGAGAACCTTCTGAAACGAATTCTTACTGGTTTATCCAAGAATGTTCTTGAACACAAGCCAGAAGCTATATAAACCCTGCTGGTACATGGAGAGTTAGTCCGTGCAGAATTAGTGAGAGTCCATCGAGTTGATAGTCAGTTATTGAGTGCCGAGTTGATCGTCGGCTGCACCGAAAGAGTTTTAGTGTATAGCAGTTAGTGCATCGTCGAGAGAGTGTGTTGAGATCTGGAAACGACTGAATCGAGGAGTCGGGAGCTGTACTCTAGTGTATCGTCGAGTGCATCGCAATTTCAACGTAATAGCCTGAAGGCTGTGTGTCACTGATCATTTCAGCATGTTTATAGTAGATCTTTGACAACTGTAAAACGCTATTTTGGTGCTTTCCTGAGAATACTGGCCAATAAAGTGTGTTTTGATACTTCATCAAGTGCTGTTCTCGTTATTCACTCCAAATCCTTACGAACATGAAAAGAAGGAAACAAATTTAAGAAGATCTTTATTTTCAATTATTTTCAAATTCTGCTTCTGGGAGAGCAGTGAGGTGAACGACTGACTTAACTCTTTGAAAACTGAAGCCTTTGCTAACTTGTATGTTAATATACTCAACCGCCCAAAATGGTTTTCGAGAGTCACAGCAATTTCCTCTCCTCCTCATCCATTAATGCACAAAAAAGAGTGAAGATTTCAAATGGCAGCCTTTCTACTTCTAATAAATAAAGATAAGAAACCACAAATAAATCCTTTTTAGAGCAAGCTGTTTGAAATAAACTGATACAATGCATTTGGGGAAACTGCACCTGCTACTGCATACCTTA